CATCCTCATAACATTATCTACTTACAGTGATTTGCCACCTTTACTTAAAGTATAGGTATCACAAAGTCATTTTCTGTTTTAACATTCATGTAGAACAGTTTTACAGGGTTCAAGTTGGGATACAATCACCAGAAGGGATCACAATAACACGAGGAATATTGCGAAGATTTCGTGATTTTTTGAAGCTTTCAAAGGAGGTGAGTTGTCTGTTTGTCTCATGATTGCAAAGTTACTCTAGATGTGCATTTATGAATATATGTAATTTTATGGATTACGCTCATAAGCTCCTAAATCCTCTTCAACAGTGAGATGGTTAATCATTAAATTAAATTATTCCAGTAACTGGATACCTTTCTCCATGTTTTTGCAGCTTAAAGAGGAATTTCCAGTGAAAATGCTGCCTCCAACTCCTCCAAAGAAAATTCTGAGATTGAAAAGCAGGATACTTTTGGAAGAGGTATGCTATCTCTCTCTCTCTTTCTCTCTCTCTCTCTCGTATTTGTCGTGCCCTAGCATTCATTATTTTAACAGCCCTTTATATTTACTATGCGGATTTCACAATCAAGTAGATACTTGTATTTTAGGCAGATTAGAAGTGTGTTTTTCACTGATCTTTTATATTTTATTTTGGTGTTTACTTCTGATATAATATGCTCAAACTTTACATTTTTCGCATTAGGGGCTTATTTCTTAATTATTCCAAGATCTACTGCTAAATAATTCTCTTTGTTCACTACTACTTTCTTTCATATAGATTCATTCTCATGAATGGTAATAGTAATGTGCTCAAACATTTAGTTCACTGCAGAGAAGGTGTTCTCTGGAGGATTGGATGGATAAACTCTTATCTGATATCGATATATCACGATCTGCTGTGGTAGCAAACTTTCTTGAGCTTGAAGCTGCTGCGAGGTCATGTAGGTGCTCGTTTGATGAATCCTCATCAGTTCATTATTTCTCTTCTTTTGAACCAAGATTGTCGCATGACATATATAAGGGCAATGTTTTCCTATATTTTGCAGATTTTGATGAGGTACATGCGCAGAGCTCAGATGCAAATTCGATTGCCACTGATGCAGTTCCACTCTTTACTCCACATCCTGTAGCTGATGTTTTCAATAGTGTTGTAAGTCCATCTGCATTGTCAGATCAGGGCAATGATTCATCCTATGAGATATCTGAACTTGGATCACCAAGACTTGGGCATAGTGATTCTGCTGATCTTGGCATTGACAACTCTGAACATGAGTTTACCTATGCGGAAGCAAATTTGAAGTATGGACTCTTTAATAGAAAGTTCATTTTGGACAATATAGAAAGATTTTCCTGGCTTAAAGTACGCAACAGAGGTGTTGACAGCATTTTGAGTGGCAGAGGATCCCCTTATGATAATGTTGCCATTGTCAAAGATCAGTATGACAAGGACTTTCCTTCTGAAACAGAAAGTCACATGGTTCATGCTCGAAGACTATCATCAGAAAGTGTTGGTAGCGACTTAAGCTCCAGAAAAGCGAGTGAAGTAGTTGCATTTAATCCCACTGCAAACAATACTATGTACAATCCCGAATTTCATGACATGCAAAATCCTGCCACCGCAAGGTTACAGTTTCCAAGGGACTTAGCTGTCGCTCTTCCATCAGAAGAGCGGCATAAGTTGAACAGAGTTCTTACAACTGTGCAACAAAGGTTATCAACGGCAAAAACAGACATGGAAGATCTCATCGCCAGATTGAATCAAGAGACTACTGTGAGACAATTCTTAACAACAAAGGTACGTTCTGGCCTCTGGAAAATTTGTTGAGTCTTGTATCTACTCATCATCTCCAATCAAGAGAAATGACTGCTGCCTCTCCAGCATTTTGTATTTTGAGATAAGAGTTGTGATTTGTGCCATCAAAATTTTAGCTTGTATGCAGTAAATTATTGGTTTTTCTTTCCTTAGCTGGTCACTCCGAACTTCGGCCTGTAGTTTGAATATATGCCAGTTGTCATATTGATAGTATCTGCTGCACTCTACTGAATGGATGAAAGGCGGTAGGGATCTATTTGATGAATACATCACATGTTTAGCCATTGAAAGCTTGCAGTATTCCAATCTGTTATATTTTATCTGTTGTTGAGCTTTTATATGGACACTCAATTTATTATGGATCATTCTGCTTGCGATATCCCCATCCTGAGACACCATTACATGATTAAGAGGCTGTTATTACCTAGTTGCGCGTTGTGTTTTCTGTCTGCTTCCATGTTCTTGTGTTCATTCATGTGTCATTGTTTTGGATGATGCAACTAAATATATGAAGATGGTGTCTTGAAGGTCAAAGATCTGGAAGTGGAACTTGAAACCACAAGATATAATTGCAAGGAAAACATGCAGCAAGCAACTTTAATTGAGAAAGAAAGGTTTACTCAAATGCAATGGGACATGGAGGAGCTCCGAAGCAAATGTTTGGAGGTGGAAATGAACTTGAAGGCTGAACAGGTTCCTATTACCATGTATTTTCTGACTTTTATTTTATTGCCTGTACTAACAAGCATTTTCAAATGTTGTAAATTTCTCAGGAAGAAAAGGCTCGTGTTGAATCAGAAAAACTATCGGTGATTCAAGAGAGAGACTTGTTGCTTAATGATTTGGATGTTGCTAGAGAACACCTCAGTAAACTGCATAAACATAATGAGGAGTTGGAAGCAAAATCAAAAGCTGATGTGAAGCTTCTTGTTAAAGAGGTTAAATCTCTTCGTAGCTCTCAGTCAGAATTAAAGCAGGAGCTTGGCCGCCTCATGAGAGAGAAAATAGAAGTTGAGGTAATCTGCCGTTTTTATGTAATAAGAATTTTTTTTCATAAATTGAGAATATCTTTACGTGCACAAACCAGTGTTGCACATCACAAGCAGTTCCTGTTCTATTTATTACATCCATGATTTATTATTTGAAGTCTGAAACACTGGCAATTTAGTTTAAGTCTGCTGCGGTAATCACCTTTAAGCCGAGTTTTTGGTGTCTCAAAGGCTGCTTTCTCTCTCTCTCTTTCTCTGAGACTTTACTCATTGTTGCATTTGTCTTGTTCAGCGAACTCTACAAAAAGAAAAACAGAGAGTGGAGTCTGCAAGTGCTGCAAATGCAAAGCTGCTGCATGAATGTGAAATTCTACGAAATCGGCTTCAAGAATGTAGCGTTAATTTTCTTAGTGAAGAAGAAGATAAGTTGATTGTGGATACCTCTTCACCATCTGATGCAATAGATCTACTGATAACCTCTGACAATCGAATTGGCCTTCTTCTTGCGGAGGTATCGTTTGCATTTCAGAACTTTAAGTACTTCTTTGCTTGTATTCTATTTCTAACTTAATTTTTGATATCTATGCAAATAGGCCTCAGCTCCTTTATAGACCTCTTCTTGTTGTAGATTCAAATATGCCATCCCTCATATAACCTCTTGTAATTCATCTTTCTGCAGTTCAATAAAAACCTGAACTTTATATAATGAATGGAGCGTTGTTCAACTTATGTTGTGAATTAAATCGGTGTTCTCTAATCATGAAGTCAAGGATGTCCAGTTCTTGAAGTTTTTCTGCATCATGTGGTCTTTACTGCATCACTTACCTGGCAGTTATTATGCTGACCTGTGTGCATTGTCAGGCCCAACTCCTCGCTCAAGATGTAGAAAATGCTGTTGTAAAAGTGGATGAGATCCGGAATGCTAATGATGGCAATGGGAGGACCAGTGATGATGAATTGAGGAAGATGCTGACGGACATGTTCATCGACAATGCGACATTGAGGAAACAAGCGAATTCAGTAATCCGTTGTGCTTTGAATATGTATGTCCAAGCCGAAGAAAAGGATGAAGATGATGAAGAAGTCCCTTTGCGAAAAACAGTTTTAAGCAAGTTTTTATAGAGATGATGTGAATTATGGCGACTGTCAATGGTGGGTCTTTTGTCCTAGTGGAACTAGCAGCAGCTGCTTGTACATTTGTGCTGGCAATAAATGAGATTGCCTCTGCTGCAGGGTGGTCCCCTTTCTCGCGTAAGGTGACCATAATTCACACTGTATCTTTTCTCTTACAAAATTTATTCTTTGATTGACATTTCCTCCAGAATTAGAACAGTTTGCTCATACCAACGCTCCACATTTCAAGAAGTGGTAGTTTTGGATGTACATACTTCTAAGAGTGTATATGGTACACAGGAAATGAACTTTTGTTAATTGATTTTTACTTTATAATTTCCTTTAGGTATAGTAATCCTTCTGTTGCGTAATTATAGAACCTTAAGACTTTTTTTTTTTGGCTGGAATGAAGAACCTTAGATTGACATTATTCAGAATCTAGGATTTTTTTTTTGTATAATCATCTTCCTTCTGTTGTATCTGCTGGAATGAAGAACCTTAGGTTTACATCACTAAGAATCCAGCATATGTACCCTGGTTCTTTTTAGGTCTTTGAATTCCGCTGTTTGGGTTGTGAGGTTGCAGATTCAAAAGGGCAATTGAAAACAAGAGCTAACCACAAATTATTGTTTATGAGAATTCTCTTTAAGCTCTATATGCTCAATGTTTTTTCCTAATCGTCCTTTTTTGGGACTCTTTTGTCCTGAGTTTCGATCTCTTGATTACATCTCTCAGTGGATCAGCCCAAAGCTTATACACGACTTGAGCAGTAGAAGTCTTTAGAAGATGCTAGAATTGCCAATTCCAACGCAAGCTTATAAATGAAGATGTACATCAAAGTGCGAAAATATGGCATATGTTGACATTTTAAAGAAAAACAGAGAATACGATTGTGTCGCTCTCTCTTATACTTCTCGAATCATATCGACTTGCTTATATACCTCTTAAATCATGTCAACGGTCCTGAGCATCGATGGTATTAGTTTGCCATCATACCTGATGCATGTAGTGGATCACTTAGTGTTAATTGCCTATCAGTGATATATAATTGCGATAGTCTAGCCTCGCGCACACGCTCCTACATCAGTTAGCAATCAAACTATGCATCATTCAAGAGAAAAATCGTTTTTATTTTCTTCCTAGAAATTCAAGAGAAGAATCTATAACAATCACAAGTGTAATCAAATCATGACTTCAATTCGCTAGTCCTCACAAAGAACATAAGACAAGAGTACTATGCCAATTAAGATGGCCAATGGATCTCTGTCCTGGCGCTGGCTGGGTACCCTGAACCGCGATAATCCTGCGCTGGAGCTGCAAAATAGAATTCTCCGAGTCATATATATAGAAGCAGCTCACATCAAGTCAACGGTCTTTCATTTCTCTTAATGCCTCATGACCTCAACATTACGAGACCCGTTTCGAATTCGAGTGGTTTTGTATTCCACAATATCTTCTCGGCAAAGAAAGAATGAAGAGGAAGCGATAAGAACAGCAACAGATCAACATTGTGAACCAAGAGAGGGGACCTCAAATTTTGCGTAGGGTATCGCTCTATATTTATGGCGATTACGTAACATTATCATGTAATTATTGCAGTCATCTCTTTCAAGCATGCACATGGTGGAATCCATGTATAAATCATATAAGAGTCCGGCAGGATTGAAACTGAGATGCGACTTGTTTATGTTACCTCCTTGGGGGTGTCCAAGCAGTGCAGACGCAACGTCTTGTACTCCTGTTTGATACGAACCACTGCCGTGCTACACCTGCACAATGATCATATCCATAGGAATTAGGAAGTCATTCAACTTCACGGTGTTAAGATACAGAACAGAAGTGAGCATGCCGATGCTTTGCTGCTGAAAGGATTAGTCACTTGGCAAAAGGCGTTCCTATCCTAATCCTGCTTCAACTACTGCCTGAACTTTCCTGTTGGAGATAGATAATTTCTACCTGAAATGGCCAGTTTTAGTCAATTTTGTTTTTCTGTTTCAGGCCGGTCCAGAATTTGGAGCTTCATATGGTGAAAATGTTGGAAGAGAAAGACATTTATTCTTCAACAAAATGATGTTGGGGTCAAGTTAAAAAAAAAAATTGCTCAAAGCATGTCAAAAAAGTGAATTTTTTTGGGAAATAATGATCTGAAACACCTTTGGAAATCGTATAAAGCGAAATACACCTTTCGATCAAATCTCCAGGGCTGATGAAATAGAAGAATATCCGGACTATTTCACTGGAAATCTTGTTTTGTAATACTAGTGAAAGTACGTATTATTGCTATACAAAGATCAAGGATTGACTCTTTTGTTTTCATAGACGAGCATTTCTTATCCAAGTGATAACAATATATCAAATTTTAGGTAGATTGATTCTGATCATATTAGTTTTATGAGCTCTTAATCTTAACTTATGATGAAAAATTCAAAAAAATAATGAAAAATTATTAAAAAATATTTGTATTATTGCCGGCTATGTCACGTGAGACGGCCAGCATCCACGTCAGCGATTTCCGATCAAAATTGGCTGTATGGTCTCAATTGGCATAATGAGAAAATGTTTAGACTCAATGGTATAATTAAAAGATTTAAGACTGAATTGGCACAAATACAGTAGATTTCAGACCTTTTTGGTAATTTTCCTGCACGCACGAGTGATAGGGAATCATTACTGTTGCAAAACGAAACTATAAAAGGGATCAGTTTGTCTTATTCAATTTATAACCTTGTATAAAATTTCTAAGACGAATTACGTTTAAATCATGGGCAGATTGATCTAATCATAATAGTTTTATGAGCTCATAATCTTAACTTCATATCATAAATGTAAAAACTAGATCCGGTCCATGTGAAAAATGGTAGTAAAATGTCACGTAAGCTGTCATATTCAGCAAATTCAATGCCATAACGATTATTTTGATGGTATGGCAAACACATCTCTGAAATGCTAAAAAAAAGAAAAATAAAAAACAGGAGCTTATCACGATCGATTGGTGCTTTAATTATTTCAAAACTTACGGTGAACATGCATGCATGCTTTAAATTGGATATTGCTAATAGGAACAAATAAGAAATTTTGCTCAGGATAAAAAGAAAGAAAAAACCAAAGGAAATTTTACCAACCGTAAGAGAATAGAAGACTATTCTTCCTTTCTGGAGTTGGCTGTTGATATCGTCCACAATATGACTCGAGTATCCTTCCTTTCTTTGTAATGGCCGTCGAAGGCAGGCGAAATCCCACATTCTTTCAAGCGTCAAATGACTCGTGTGTGGAAGACCTTAATCGGTCAAAAGCTGTCGACCGAATGAGACACAGTCGCCGTAGGTTTTCTAATGCTAGTGGCTCAGTAAGCTTTTTTAAGGATTTGGACCCGAGCAAAGACAATTCCTCTAGCGACTCTAATTCCCCCACGCCTTCAAGTTTTATTAGCCTTGGGCAGTTAAAAAGGCCCAAATATTGGAGCCCCTTTAATCCCCGTAAGGATAGCCTCTCAAGCAATTCACTATCTCTCACTTTCAAACTATGGAGTTTCTCTAGCTGCTGTCCAAGCACATCATCGAATCTGACCTCCCTCAGCCGACATTTACAAAGTTCCAAACTGGACAAATTCGTCAAGTCGCAAAAGAGCGACCTTTCCATCGGTGAATTGACATCGTGTAGAGTCAATTTTTCAAGACTGGATGGAAGTCCCAGCATAGATTGAGGGTCAACACAAGTTATCTCCAGAATACGAAGCTGATAAAGAGTAGCCCAATTAATCAGAGGAAATGTGACATCTCTCATGACGAGTGTCAGTCTCTCTAGATTAGATAACCCCTTGATCCACTCTATCTTTAGAGCTCCTTCTGACAATCCAGGAGTGTCGCTCCATATATGAAGATGGACTAAGTTAGTTAGGTATGAAAAGTCAGGAACTGTTGGCAATAAATGAGATGAGAACTTCAACTCCTTCAAACTCACAGGGAGCTCTGGCAACTGTTCAAATTCATCACACTGATGCAAACGAAGTTGTTGTGAGTTGATTTGCATGTGCTTTAGATGCTCTAGTTTTGAGAGAGAGCCATCAACCACTAGCAATGCTTTACAACCTTGAAGAATCAATCTCTTCAAATTCAAGCATTTTGAGAAGTCAGGAATCCTTTTTAACCTTGAGCAACCGGTGATTCGTATAACTTTCAAGTTCTCGCTCACCTAGAAAAATCAAACCAAAAATCAGCCAAGTGAAAAGCACATGAGTAATTTGGCCAGCGAGACAAATAAGACAAAAAGCAAACTGCACGGTGTGATGTTGTACCAGGCATGGCCCCCATCCGGGCCAATTTTCAGTAATGTTACTTCCTGAAAGCTCGAGCACGGCTAGTTTCTTGAGACATAAATTCGTCGCTTTTAATTTCGACGGGCAAACACTCCAAGAGAGCCATATTAACTTGGAGAGAAGATTTTTAAAGTCCCCTACCATGTTGCCACCCTCTAATTCCAAAAATCTCAGATTGGGCAACTTCGAAAATTCTTCACTCGTGAAATTTTGCACTTGGGAGAGTCCGGTTAGATTGAGTGCTACGACTCTGTTTGTCCCCTGGGGATAGGAAAAGCATAAGTACACATTTGAACTGGATGACAAGCGTGGTGCTGTATTAGTCTGAGGAGCTTGATTATGTTTAGTAAGGAAACACATATTATTGCTTCGTACATATCTAAATTGAGAAAAGCATAAGAAAGAGCAAATCAAGTCATTCTAACTTGTTCGTAGAGTTGTAAAGAAATCTTTATACCGTATAAAGCATAACAACATTTCTAATCCATTAGTTTAAGCGAATTTCTGATGCAAGATGATCATAAAGAACTTCATTATCATTGAGTAGAACAATTTGAAAGAAAATACCTGCAATGATTTTACAATTAAAAAAAATATTGCCAGACCAATTTCTAACTGTGTCTTGATTTTATAACTTGATCGCAACTCTGTGAGTCAAAACCTGCTTGGTCTGGAGCGTGTGGAAGTTCGGTTTACTCCAGAGCATCCCTTTATTAGGTTTCACATGAGTGTTATTACAAGATGAGAACAGGCAAGCCATCCCCGTTTCGGGAATCTAATCGATGTATAAAACAGGGGAAAAAACCACCAAAAACCCCAAACTTTGCCCCATGTGACACATTTACCCCGAACTTTTTTTTGTGACACCAAAAACCCCAAAGTTTGCTATTTGTGACACATTTACCCAAATATACTGTAGCCTAGGGTATTTTAGTCTTTTTTCCCTTTTTCTATTTTTTTCTTTTTTCCGGCGAGGGCGAGGGCTGCCTTGCCGGCGTCGGGCGAGGGCAGCCCTCGCCTTGCCGGCGTCGGGCGAGGGCAGCCCTCGCCTCGCCGGCGTCGGGCGAGGGACCCTTGCCCCGCCCGCACGAGGTGAAGGCCGCCCTCGCTTGGGCGGGGTGAGGGTGCCGCCGGGCGTCGGGCGAGGGCTTCCCTCGCCCCGCCCGGCGAGGGCGGCCCTCGCGAGATCCGGCGAGGGCGACCCTCGCTCGACGCCGGCGAGGGCCGCCCTCGCCGGGATCTGGCGAGGGCGGCCTCGCCGGCGTCGAGCGAGGGTCGCCCTCGCTCGGGCGAGCGAGGGTAGCCCTCGCCGACGCCATCGCCCCTCGCTCGGCGTCCTCGCCCCCTCGCCGGCGTCGGCGAGGGCGCCTCGCTCGCCCGGGCGAGGGCGACCCTCGCCCGACGCGCCGGCGAGGGCCGCCCTCGCCGGATCCGGCGAGGGGGGCCCTCGCCGACGTCCGAGCGAGGGCGGCCCTCGCCGGATCCGGGCGAGGGCCGCCCTCGCCTGGGCGGGGCGAGGGAAGCCCTCGCCCGACCGCCGGCGGGGCCTCGCCCGCCCGGGCGAGGCGGCCTTCACCTCGCTCGGGCGGGGCGAGGGTCCCTCGCCCGACGCCGGCGAGGCGAGGGCTGCCCTCGTCCAACGCCGGCGAGGGCAGCCCTCGCTTGGGCTGGGCGAGGGTCCCTCGCCCTCGCCGGAAAAAAGAAAAAAAATAGAAAAAGGGAAAAAAGACTAAAATACCCTAGGCTACAGTATATTGTGGTAAATGTGTCACAAATAACAAAGTTTGGGATTTTTGGTGTCACAAAAAAAAGTTCAGGGTAAATGTGTCACAGAGGGCAAAGTTTGGGGTTTTTGGTGATTTTTTCCCATAAAACAAAGATTTCTTTCAAAACAGTAGAGATATTCAACCATCGCGGTAAAAGTCTCCCATATATCGTTTGAAATGTTAGAGATGGACCATTAATTACTAAATCCATATATTGTAGGAAAGCTCTACCGGAAAATACACAAAAGATAGCATATCAAATTAATTACTAAACATATTACCAAATTTTTTTGCAAGGGGTCGTTGACGATGTCTCATTAAACAGCAATGTTGCTAATGTTTGCCAACTTAGCATAAAGGAACAAAGACGGCTTGGAAAAGCTTTTGATAGCCTAGGAAATCGCAATCTGCATCTGTTTTGTTGAACAATTTTTGTATTCAAACGTATTCCCTGAAGTATTTGCTACTAATTACTTTTCACGTCATAGTAATAAATTTATAAACACCTCTAAAAATGATATGTAATGATATTATCACCAATGAACTCTTATACGAATTTCGTTCTTCTTTGCCAGAAGGGAAATTGAACAAAAAAAAATTTACCGTAAGAAACTAACTCCACAACCGGTGGTAAATGCATGGTCGATTTTTTCCTAAAGAAAACAGCAGGGTGATTATAGCTTACCTCTCTCATCTTAACCGTATCCAAGGCAATCTCGGGCACCCACAACCTGCTGCGCTTTCCAGGAATATTGACATCTTCACGTTGAATAATTTCTCTTCCAAGATCTCTAAGTTGGTCATGCATCCACAAGGTATCATTTTCTTGTATCTTTATTAACGACATGCGAGTAAGGACAATTACTTCACTTTTTGGGAAATAGTTCGAAGCTTTCCACATATAGTACGGATGGAGTCTTTCTTTTCCAATGAAGTAACATGCGATATCAAGAAAGATATCTCTCTGACTATGCTCTAACATGTCATAACTAATCTTTAATTTATTGAAGACTTCCTGCTTGGGCACCAAATCTAATTTCCTCAGCGTGTCTTTCCAAAATTGTTTGCTTTTGCCGAAAAGTGAGGAGCCGATAACCTCAAGGGCTAATGGAAGCCCACCTGTTTTGCGAGTAATCTTGTGTGAGATATCATCATAGTCATGTGGTGGGAAGTCCATCCCGAAGGCATGTTTACTAAAAAGCTGAAGAGAATGAAAAGAATCCATTTGTGTCATTTCATAGATTTCAAACTGTTCGGAATGTGCTTGGAAACTACTCTCTTCGCCCTTCACTTTGATCGGCAAAAAGTTGATGTCCCTCGTTGTAATGATGATTTTGCTTCCTGGACCAAACCAATCGCTATTTCCTGCTAGTTTAGAGAGTTGGTCCCACTTATCCACATCATCAAGAATAAGGAGAACTTTCTTATTACGAAACCTTTCACTAATTATGTCAATCCCTGCATCAACAGAATTGTGGGTTGCTAGAGATCTGCCTTGGAGAATATCTGATAACAATTGCTTTTGTAAGTCGATAATTCCACCGTGCTGCGCAGATTCACGAACATCCAATAGGAAGCTACAACCTTCAAATCCATTGGAGATTTGATTAAAGACAGCACTTGCGAGAGTTGTCTTACCAATACCGCCCATTCCATGGATGACCAGGTAATGAATATCAGGAGAACCTTTCTTTAACAAGTCCTTGATAGCTTCCACATGATCATGGATCCCGACTAAACGATCAGGCATATTTCTCCTTCTTTTCTTCAGCTTGTTGAAAACCTCGTCAACAATAGTGTTGATGATTTCACCATAACTACCATATTGACACAAGAGTCTTAGCGTGAAACAGACGGTAGGCAAACTTTCGAGCTGAGGAATATTGTAGATACGAAACTAGTTGGATCTTTGAATGGGCGAGGTTTTACCCAATGGGAAGGAAGACAATAATTACAAGGACAAAAGAAAGGAAAACGGTTTAGCTATTATACTATGCTTGACGGGAGTAACGCAAAGACAATAAATATGGGACGAAATTTTATTCCTTATAATCGTCTCACTTTGGTAGAGATCTGCAAAAAAATTAACTAGGCAAAGGATCTTGAGGGCCGGAAGCGGTATAATATTACGCCGACGAAAGCATCATGAGTACTCTTCATCATCTCAATCTAAGATGTACTTCCCAAGTGAATACACGTGATTATGCTTTTAATTGCCTGAAAAAAATGAAAGAGACAGCAGATTCTGAGCTCACACTCTTACCCTTTGTCATTCAAGCCCCATCCCTTGATTCTTGCGACCTGGGTCAGAGCCTCTTTCCATCGCCGAACATTATCACGGCCGAACTTCTCCTCATGCTTCTCCAGATCGTCAAGGTACAATCGAGTTTTGAGCTTCACGTCATTGGGATCCACGTCATAGAAAATGGGTAAGATCACTTTGTCATTCGCTTTGCTTGAGCAATCCACCATGTGCGTGAGCTCGCGAAGACACCACGCACTGGATGCATAGTTCCTAGAGAAGACGGGGACGAGTATTTTGGCGGATTTGATGGCATGTAGAAGCTCGCCTCCAATCTTTTCGCCCTTTCGGATCTCTTCATTGTCTCTGAAAACGCGAATTCCAGCTCCAACCAGGGAGTGATAGAGGCAATCGGTGAAGTTGAGGCGGGTGTCGAGGCCCCTGAAACTCAAGAACACCTCGAATTCGGCCCCCGACGAAGTGCCGACATCATCACAAGCGGATGTCGTCGCTGCATCTCGTAAGTCCCTCTTTCTCTTCATCCTCCTTCAGGACCTCAAAGTCTTCACCCGATTCGATCACAGTGAGATGCGGAGTCCTCTCTGAATCTGATCTGGGATTCCCCTGAAGGAATTAGCGAAGCGAGGGAGGCAGGAGAACAGCACTGCGCTTTCGCTGTATTTTCTCGGATTTGTTTGCTTTTGTCTCAAGCATAGAAAGAAAAAAGAATGGCGACGACTTCGATAAGTCGAGCCAATGAAAGTCCTCCAAAGTGGCAGGGTCCACCTTAATCACGGCTTTCGATTTGTGAATGGTAATAACACGGAAAAATGACATGAATCTTGGTCCAATATTTAATGTGATCTCTTAATTTTTAATTTGTTCAATGTAGTTCCTTTGTCATTTGTTCAATGTAGTCCCTGAACTTTTAATTTTTTTAATTTCGTCTCTGAACTTTTGGTACATGTTCAAGATAATCCCTAAATTTTTGGTACATGTTTAATTTAGTCTTTCCATTAATTCAAGTTCAGGGATTATAGTGAATATTTTCATATAGTTCAAGGACTACATTAAATATGTACCAAAAGTCCAGGGACTACATTGAATAAATTAAAAGTTCATGAATCACATTGAATATTAAACTAAAGTTCAAGGACTACATTGAATAAATTAAAAGCTCAGGGACCACATTGCACATTAGATCAAAGTTTAAAGATTGTTTGTGTCATTATCCCTAATAACTAATATGAGCGTGCTCAGCTCGCTGTAGAGAAGGTGTTCTCTGGAGGATTGGACGAAGAAACTCTGTATCTGATGTTTCATATATATATATATATATATCGACTAAAATATAGTTATAAGAACAATGTGTTTTTTGGCCAGCAGTCGTATTAACAAGTTCAAAAGCATTAGTTGTACGTTTAATCCCCGCATCGAGAACTATTTATTTATCAAACCAGAAAAAATTGCGTATTTGGTACTTACCTTCCTTTAGCGTAATCTGCACTAGTTCTTATTTTGGTTACGCTTAACACTTCCCGTCCGAATTACCACGAAACCCTATTCAAATGAAAAACCGAAGATCCAACTTTTGATGAAAGGTGTTTCATCGCGTGGAGCCATTCCTGGCGAAACAAGTATACAACTCCAACGAATTGTCTAAGTTCAGAAATCTCCCTGATATAGTTAAAGAAGAGAAGTTATAAAATTGATTCAAAGCACACTATGATTGGCATGGCGCTCATTTTTCAGAGTAGAGTTCCACCAAACCCGGGTGCAAGTTGCTATTGACTTCGTACTCCCGAATTCTAATGAACCACTTCGGATTTTGAGTATATATATTCGAAGTGGAAAATCAGATGAACTCTCTATTACATGAATGGACGCTCTATTTCTTTTACAAATATAACTTTTGAATTAAAGTCACGACTCTTCTAATGAAGGTTGAATCATGGTGTTAATAAAACTACAATGAAGTGGGGTTCGTATTTGTAGGGAAACCGCTTCCTTTCCTCCTTAAACACTTCTAATCACGTATGGACATTTGTGCCTATTCAACAAGGGATCAAAGAAGAAATTATACATGCAGATGCATGTTTTATAGAAAAAGATCTATACCGTAGTCGACGCCCCCATTCACACATGCCTACACAAACATATTAAAAACCATACAAAAAGCAAATGACAATGTACTATTTCAAGCTCACAGACCACAAAGTCACGCCGGCGGAAGTCAAAAGCTTCACAAATGACAAACATGTACATAAATTCGATCAACCTGTCTCTCATAATATTAAGGTGCGTGCGAATTGCTCCATTAGATTACAAAACGGGAGTGTTCATTCGGTGCGTAAGGTGTTGTGGCGAGGCCATTGTAACGATGATCCCAGTCCACCGTAAGAGTCTTGCACCTCCTAAGGAAATTTGAAGATGGGATGTGCCTATTGTGAAATACTAATTATGCTCTTCTGATTTTATTCATTACCCAATCCTATCCTAGGCCCAAAATGGCCAGTCGGGTCTTTTTATTTTTTCCTAGTTTCAGCCGGGCCAGAATTTAAGGCTTCCCATGATGAAATATGTTGGTGGAGGAAAAAACTTACATGAAATATGTTCTGATGAAAGTAGTCTTATGAGCTCTTAATCTTAACGTCATATTATAAATGTAAGAGCTCGGTCCTGTCCCCGTGGAAAGTGGTACTAAAATTCCAATTAAGCTGTCATATTCTATTCATCACATTTGCTGCCACAACGACTGTTTTGACGGTACAGCAAACCCATCTCTGAAACGCTTAAAAAAAGAAAAACGCAAAAAAAAAACAAAAGAAAGGAGCTTAGAAGTGGCAGCAGCACATGATCGACAACCTGCTTGTTTCTTTATCTCTGCTATCAAGTCGTGAAGCACCGATCGACAATCAAGTCTCGTTTCTTTATCTCTGTCCAAAGAATGGATCCGGGTTCCAATAAGATTGCATGCACAATTGAGAAGCGAAAACAATTTAAGTTCTGCGTTCGAATGATTGAATTTTGTTACGTTTTCTTTCTCTTGGAAACAGGTGAAGTAATTTCATTCTCCCCACGTTATCCATACGAGAGAATTTTCGACGGCAATCGTCCAAACCAAGTACAAATGTTGATTAACGTCGACGACAGTTTTCATGAGTATCTCTATAAATGCTGCAGATGCAAGACGATAAATCAATTGCTTACTTCAGCTCAACAACGGCGAGCGTCGTTCGAAGATAATCGTCAAAGAGCATGTATCTCCTGAAATTGGGCCATGAACTAATCGATGAGGGCATATGATATCCGTCAGAACTGAAAGTGTTAAGATACCTTCTTTGACACTGTATACTGACTGGCTTTCAGTTTCAGATGACCTGAACATGACAATGCATAGAAGACATTCTCAGATATTTCAACTACACACAGAAAGTTCAAACCTTCGCGATTTGGGGAATTTGTCCGTGATGTATCGATCCCCAACTTTAGCCTCGGGCACATTGGCTAATTTGCTAAAGTCACGAAAATCAACTATAGTTCCATTGATCCCCAAATTACTCGAAAATTATTCTGCATAGGACGAATAACCAAATAAAAAATTATTAACCATTAGACATAATTCAATCGATATCAAGAAAATAATCACGATTTATCTCCGCTACATTGTGTAACTAGCTAAATTAGTCTCCTTATATAAACACCAGTTTTAAGTGAGGCTAATGATATGTCTACTCCCTTTTTCACTTCTTCCACAACTATTACACAAGTACATTGCCCATTAAGTTATAAAATGGCTGCTGGAAGAAGTTGTTGTTGTCGTGGAAGAAAACTTTCTAGATCTCAGATCATGGAAGAAACCATTATTATTGTAAAAATATCATTAAATTAAGTAATCGAATCCATTTTGTCTCAACAAACACAATGTCCCTCTAAGCAGTTTTCAAAAGAATGTGAACAACCGTTATTCCGTCAACTGGTACTTCTATAGTCATCACCCATTTATGAACCGCAGTATAATTCCCACAATAACGTAAATATTATTTCACGAAACACGAATAAGACCTTCCTTTTCCATTTCTGTCGAAATTCACAAATATTACAAGAGGGATTGGTGCTTCAATCATGTTATTACTAAAGGTGAACATGCATGCATGCTATATACTGAATCTTTCTAACAGGAACAAATAGACAATTGCCCAGGAAGAAAAGGAAAACTAAAACAAAAGGGAAGAAGAAACCAAAGAAAATTTTACCGACTGTTAGAGAACATGAGATGATTCTTTCTTTCTAGAGTTGGCCGTTGATATCGTCCCCCCTATGACCGTAAGTATCCTTCCATCTTTTGTAATTGCCAGAAAAGGCAGGTGAAATCCCACATCCTGCAAATATCAGTGAACACGTGTCTTGAAGTCGTAGACCGGGTGAATTTGTCAGCGGACAATCATAAAGTTGGAATGTCCGCAGCTTCTTCAATCCTGATAGATCAGGCAACCTTTCTAAGGAGCTGCATCTCCTAATAACCAATCTCTCTAGCGATTCCAATTTCTCCACACCTTGAATCTCCATTAGCCCCACGCAATCAGACACCTCCAAATATCGGAGACCCTTTAGTTTGGAGACCGATAGCCTCTCAAGCAAATGATTTTCTTCCACAGTTAAATTATGGAGTTTCTCCGGATGCTGTCCAAGCACATCATCAAATTCGACCTCCCTCAGCCAACAATTAGGAAGACTCAAATGGGACAGGTTTGTCAAGTTGGAAAAGAGTGAACCTTCAATTGGTGACTTGACATCGTATAGAACCAATCTTTCAAGATTGGACGGAAGCCCCACGAGAGATTGGGGGTCGACAAGAGTTATCTCAAGACTCTGAAGCCGACAAAGAGTAGCAAAATTAATTGGAGGAAATGCAAAATCTTTCATTGCGAGTACCAATTCCTTCAAATTAGATAACCCCTTGATCCACTCTATCTTTGGAGCTCCTCTAATGAATTTTGAAATCTGAGGAGTGACGCACAGCATTCTAAGTTCGACTAAGTTAGTTAGGTATGACAGGTCAAGGTCAAGGGCTGTCCACAATAATTGAGATGGGAACTCTAACTTTGTCAAACTCACTGGTAGCTCTGGCAAATGTTCAAGTTCATGACATAAACTCAAATCAAGTGTTCGGAGATGAGAAAGCTGAATCATAGTCGCCGGCAATCTCCTAATGTTGCTCAATGATAGATGTAGCCACCTCAAAAAGGATAGAGCCCCAATTTCACTTGGTATTTCCCCCTTCAAATTTCGACAACCTTGGGCTTCTAAAAATATGAGATTCTCTAGCATCCCTATGGCCTTTGGTAGCTCTTTTATCTCACTATAGGTCAAGCGTAAAATCTCCAACTTTTTTAGATTCCCAATAGAAACAGGTAATTCTGTGATACTTGTTTCCCGCAAATCTAGCTCATGCAAGGATTCTAGCCCTCCCATTTGGTCTGGTAGCTTCTCTATCCGAGTCTCAACAAGACTCATCTTCCTCAACATTTTAAGATCTCCGATAGAGTGAGGTAATCCTGTCATTTCCGTGCCTCCCAACTCCAATTCAAGTAGTGATTTCAATTTTCCGATGGATTCTGGAAGTGGTCCAAGCAAACGACAACATTCTAAAGACAAATACTCTAGACGCGTCATCTCTCCAAGGGAATGACGCAGTTCCCGAACATGCATCCCTTTTATTTTTAGGGTTGATAGGGATTTTAGACCACCTAATACATAAGGTACGGCAAAAATTTCACAATCCTCGCTGGGCGGATATTCTGATGAGCTGATTTCCAAGTGCTTCAGGCTCTCTAGTTTAGAGAGAGAATCATCAACCGCTAGCAAGGCTCCACAATGTTGAAGAACCAATTTCTTCAAATTCGAGCATTTCAAGAATTTAAGAATCCTTTTTAAGCTTGGGCAACCAGTGATTTGTATAACTTTCAAGTTCTCGCTAACCTGGAAAAACAATCCAAAAAATAGCCAAGTCAATTAAGGCAAATGGGTAAGTTTGGTTATCAAGACAAATGCCACAAAAAGTAAACTGCGGGATGATGTTGTACCAGGCATGACTCCCATCCTGTCCAATCTTCAGTCATGTTACTTTGGGAAAGCTCGAGCATGACTAATTTCTCGAGACATAAATTCGTCGCATTTAATTCAGAAGGGCAATGACTCCAAGAAAGCCATGTCAACTTGGAGAGAAGATTCTTAAAGTCGCCTACCAAGTTCCCGCCCTCTAATTCCAAGAATCTCACATTGGGCAGCTTTGAAAATTCTTCACTTGTGAAATTGTGCACTTTGGAGAGTCTGGTTAGTCTGAGTGCTACGACTTTGTCTGTCCCCTGGTGATAGGAAAACTATGAGTGAACATTTGAACTAGATTACAAACACGGGGAGAAGGACACTTCAGGTGCCAAGCGGTGCTCACTTTGGTGCCAAAAGTTTTTTTTGGATCACTTAAGTGTCAAATTTTTTAAAAAACGACCACTTAAGTGTCGACTCCGATTTGATTGGCCGGAAATCCGACGTGGCCCTTTTTTATTTTATTTTATTAATTTCTGAAGTTGACGTGGATTGTTGAAGGTCTAGTCAGCATGTCAACAATAAAAAACAATGTCGTTTGGCGGATTTCCCCCAAATAAGAACCCTAAATCCCTAAATTGAAAGAAAACCCAAATTTGAAAATCCTAACCAGTCAATTTGAGCATCTGTTTCAGTTCTCCCCCAAAATTACTCGAGAAGCTCCCGATGTACATATCCCCATTGGGGAATGGCTTCTTGACGGCCCTCCTGGCGACGGTGATCACCGCCAGGGCGACCCGGCATGTCCTGGCCTGCAATCAGCTTCGGCTGACGATGATCGGAGGCACAATGACGAGCTCGAGGGGCTTCCGGCCATCCTTGTCGGAGACGACCCTGTCCTCCTCCTCTGACGATTTCTTCTTGTTGGTCAGCAAACTTGTGTCATCCAGACCGCCTCATGCATTTCTTTTTTTGGTTGTCCCGCTCCGTCGGGGCTCTACATCAAATCAAACACCTCCCTTCCTCTAGAAATTTCAGGCTCTCTCCTCCTTGAGATAATCCATTGGAAGCACCGCATTAGGCGGCGTAGAGCCCACCGTCGGAGCGACATTCAGCGGCGGTTTCTGGGTACAGAAGTCTGCCCTCTCTCCCTCCAGAGATTGGCAACTCCCGCCCTGCTGTCGTCTCGGTGCTTGGGGAGAAAAACAACGTCGTTTTTCACGTCCATGTGGATTGTGTTTTAAAAAATGTGCCACGTCACTTTTTTTTAATTATAAAAACCATGCATTAATTTTGGCCGGAATTTATTGCTATTGGCATTTAAGTGATCCGGCGAAAACTTTTGAACTAAAATGAGTGCCGTACATAACTTTTGGTACCTGTAGTATTCTCCTCCCCAAACATGGTGCTCTAAGTCAAAGGTGCTTGATTGTGTTCAGTAATGAAGCAGACATTATTGCCTAGTACAGATCTAAATTAAGAAAAGGATAAAGAAATGGTTAATGGAGTCAATCTGAATTGTTTGTACCGTCGAAAAGAAGTGTTTATTTGATATGCATAATTATGTTTCCAATCCATCAGTCCAAGAGAATTTCTCCCACAAGATGATAACATAGGACAATAGTCTCACCGAGTAAAATAGTTTGATAGAAATTACCACCTACATATTTAATTTTTTCGAAACACCGGTTTTGCAATTAAGAAAAAAAATTTCCAGACCAATTTATAATTGTGTCTTGAGTTTTGGAGCATGTGGAAGCCCGGTACACTCCAAAGCGTCTCTTTATTAGGTTTCGTAGGAGTTTGATTACAAGACGAGCACAAGAGCTGAAAAGCCGTACTCGTTTTGGACTCTTTGTGGATTCTATGGAATTAAGGATCAATGTACCAAAAAGATTTACAATCATAATAGGAAAGATATTTAGAGATAGACCATAAATTCTACATCCATATAGTGTAGGAAAGCTCTACGGGACTATACAAACGATTGCATATTCCAATTAATTACTAAATCTATTACCAAATTTCAAGTAAGGGGTCGTAAGCGAAACTTATCAACACCATTATAAAATATGATATGTAATGATATTACCAGCAACGAACTCTTGCATAAACCTTTTCTTTTTTCTTTGCCAAAAGAAAAATTAAACAAAACAATTTACCTACAAGAAACTAACTCCACAACAGTCGGTGAATGCATGGTCGATTTAAACTAAAGAAAATAGGAAGGTGACAATAGCTTACCTCTTTCATCCGAACCACTTTCAAGGCAATCTCAGGCTCCCACAATTTGCTACGTCTTCCAGGAACATCGACGTCTTCACGTTGAATAATTTCCCTTCCAAAATCTCTAAGCTGGTCATGCATCCAAAATCTGTCATTTTTAATCTTTATCAAAGACATACGAGCAAGGACAAGTACTTCAATTTTTGGGAAATAGTTTGAAGCTTTCCACATATAGTACGGGCGGAGTCTTTTTTCTCCAATGAAGTAACATGCGATATCAAGAAAGATCTCTCTTTGACGAGGTTGTAACATGGAATAACTAATCATTAATTTGTCGAAGACTTCTTGCTGGGGCACCAAAACTAATTTCTTCAACGTGGCGTTCCAAACCTCTTTGCTTTTGCAGGAAAGCGAGGAACCGATAACCTCGAGAGCTAATGGAAGTCCACCAGTTTTGCGAGTAATTTGGTGTGATATATCATCATAGTCACGTGGTGGGGAATCCATTCCGAAGGCATGTTTACTAAAAAGCTCAAAAGCATGTAAAGAATTCAATTCTTTCATTTCATATATTTTAAACTCTTCAGAATGTGCTTGGAAACTGCTCTCTCCATCCTCCTCTTTGATTGGCAAAAAGTTGACGTCTCTCGTTGTAATGATGATTTTGCTTCCTGGACCAAACCAATCACTCTTTCCTGCTAGCTTAGAGAGTTGGTCCCACTTATCAACGTCATCAAGAACAATGAGTACTTTCTTATCATGAAACCTTTCTCTAAGCATGTTAATCCCTTCATCAATAGAATCATGGATCGGTAGATCTCTGCGTTGGAGAATTTCCGATAACAACTGCTTTTGTAAGCCAATGATTCTACCATGGTGCGTAGATTCGCGAACGTTCGAGAGGAAGCTACTGCCTTGAAATTCAGTGGAGATTTGATTAAAAACAGCATTTGCGAGAGTTGTCTTACCGATACCGCCCATTCCATGGATAACCAGATAGTGTACATCACGAGAGCCTTTGTTTAACAAGTCCATGATAGCTTCCACACGATCATGAATCCCGACTAAATGATCAGGCAAATTTCTCCTTCTTTTCTTCAGCTTAGTGAAAACCTCGCCGACGATAGTGTTGATGATTTCACCTTGGCTGCCATGTTTACACGAGAGTGTTAGCGGGAAACAGATTACAAATAAACCCTCGAGCCGAGAAATATTGTGGACACGAAGTTAGTCGGACTCTTGAATGGGCGAAAGAATTAGATCTGCACTATGTTTTGACGAGTGGTTCGGGAAAGGAAGACAATAATATCAAGGAAAAAAGAAAGAAAAACGGATTAACTGTTTACTGTGCTTGGTAGGAGTAATCAGAGGGGAAAAAATTGGAGAAAAATTCTATTCCTTTATAATCATTTCCATCTCACTTTTGGAGAGGTCTGCAGAAATGAATCAAGTAGGAAAAACTTCTCTGCTCCTCCTTGCTCTTATCTCCATCTGAAAAATTGTCAAGTTATCTCTTTATATTCTCATTCCTCCTCTTTGAATCTTTTCAATCCTCAATCGTGTAAAAGGGTAACAAAAATTTCTAATACAATTTTCTTGGAATAAAAAAGGCAGTGTAGCATTCTTTCTTTTGGGGCAGTTAGCAGTACTATAATACCACACAGAGAAAAGTATCGTCAGTACCCATCATCATCTCAATCCAAAATGTACTTCTATAGTCAATATACAGATTCCGAACCCACACTCTTACCCTTTATCCTTCGTTGCCCATCCCTTGATTCTTGCGACCTCCGTCAGAGCCTCCTTCCATTGCCGAACATCGCGGCCCGACTCCTCATGCTTCTCCAGAGCATCGAGGTACAATCGAGTTTGGAGCTTCACATCGTTGGGATCCACTTCGTAGAAAATGGGTAGGATCACTTTGTCATCTGCTTTGCTCGAGCACTCCACCATGAGGGTGAGCTCGTGAAGACACCGGGCACTGGATGCGTAGTTCCTAGAGAAGATGGGCACGTATATTTTGGAGGATTCGATGGCACACAGAAGCTCGCCTCCAATCTTTTCGCCCTTCCGGATCTCTTCGTCGTCTCTGAAAACGCGAATCCCAGCTCTAACCAAGAAGTGATAGAGGCAGTCGGTGAAGCTGAGGCGGGTGTCGGGGCCTCTGAAACTCAAGAACACCTCGAATTCGGCCCCCGACGCCGAATCGCCGTCGTCATCGACACGAGCGGACGTCGTCGCTGCTGCGTATGGGGAGTCCCTCTTTCTCTTCATCCTCCTTCTGGAGCTCAAGATCTTCAGCGGGTCTTGATCACGGCGAGATGTGGAATCCCTTCTGAATCTGATCTGGGATTCCTTAGCGAATCGCCGGAGGCAGCAGAAGAGCCATGCGCTTTGGCTGTACTTTCTCGGATTTGTTGTTGTATCTCAGCACAGAAAAAGAAAAAGAAAAAAACGAACGACAGACTCAAATGAGTCGAGAAAATAAAATAAAAAAAAGGAACAGCGACGACTCACATCACATGAGTCGACGAAATATTCGGTAGGTGGAGCCAATTTTTATTCACTGAAAGACACGTGGCAATATGGGCCCCACTATCCACCATCTCATTTAACGAGAAAATATTGCGTGAGGGGAATACTCCACGTCAGCAATGCACAACCCCACTGAGCGAGTGACACGTGGCAAGCGGGCCCATAGATCAGATTTATTGAAAAATCTCACTCTTTCCCTTGAGAAAATATTTGGTGGTCCCGGACCGCCTCGTCAGCATGGTCCCCGACCAATCACAAGGCGCCACGTGGTCCACGTGGTGCTAGTGGGGCCGGCGAGCCGAGACCCCTTTTTTTCGCAAGCCCCACCAGCGCCACGTGGACCACGTGGCGCCTTGTGAGTGGTCGGGGACCATGCTGACGAGGAGGTCCGGGACCACCTAATATTTTCTCGGGGGGAGGGGAAAGATGCATGGTGGGACCTACATTGTCACGCCATCTAGAATAGTTTTTCCAAGTCATTATGATGTGTTAATAATTGCAAAAGGCAAAGAAAGAAAAGAAATTAGAATAGAAAAAAGTGGGTCGAGTAGATAAATGAAAAAGGGTGAGAGTAAGGAACGCTTCAAATAATCTCTTAATATAGATATTTCGATAACTTGGTCGATGGTCATCATACCGTTAACGAAGGTCTGAAGCATTGAAGCTTTTTTGTATTGAGACACGGCATTGGTTTTCTTCTGTCCACCCACCCTGAGCCTCGAAAGAAAAGAAGAGCAACGACTTCAAGTAAAAGCCAACCAAGTCTTGCCAATTAGAGGAAAATGATTTATCCTCCGACCATAATACAATAGAAAACCGCCCGACAGGAGTGCTGAAAGTGGCATTCGGGATGAATTCGGCTTATGTTGTCGGACAATGTATCACTGCTAAGGATTTTATCGACAAAACATCTCAAATACAGCGTCGGGTTATAGGTCTACAGGGTCCACCCACCGTCCTATCGTAATCCGAAACAAGGACATGTCTACCTTTATTGGGCATTCCTACCCCGCCGTGAGTAAACCATTCAATTAGACGGCTGGCGATGTTGTCAGTCATCGGACGGCTAGGCCTGACAATTTTGCCGTGGTGTAAGTCCACGGCATTGTAGAAAGGCCAAAACATCATTAGGTACAGACAGTATATCGAGGTCCATAGATTCCCATCTTTGCCATCTTGTCCTATTAGGATGAAAGAGGTCTAGTCACACCAAGAGCATACACAAAGACACAAGCCCCCTTCTACAAGCTCTAAAATCACCGGCTCCAAATTACAAAGTATGTGCAGAAAGAAACTCACCCTTGTGTGTCTTTAATTGGCACATAAGATTATTTTAATGTGTAGAAGACCTTAACCCTTCTTTCTCTCTTTTCTCTCGTGTGTATCACTGTGCGTTCACTCTCTCTTGCGTTCCAGACAACCCTTAAGATTATAGCAAGAAACTCTCCTAGTAGGAGACGCACTGCAAGGCTATACAGGCTTGCGTGACGACTCATGGGTCTAAGCCCACTCGACAATTACACATTAGCCCAACATGTCATCTATCCTGATAGTGCCTCAACGATGCCAGCAGCTCTTACATTCCTGAATTTGCGGCTGTAGGTTCCTATATAAGGGCCTCTTCTCCCGCATTGCATGAATAAGACACCTATTATCAACTTCAGTTTCGATATACTTCGCTGTCAACAGCCAACTCTTAACCCTCCCTTGAGGCCCAAGCTCTAGCAAGTTTGTCCTGCAGGGATGAGATTATACATTCTGTTAACTTCAGGGTGCAATAAGAGAGAGAATTAATTGAAAAGAGATTTGCCATTAACGAGGGTTGACTGAAAACGAACATTCCCTCGCAAGAAAACGAAATGCATATATATGATCTCCTTAATGAGTGTCCTTGGATCTAGTTTATAACTTTTAACTTGGAATAATTCTATGTTCAAAACAATTGCATAGACCACGAAAACTGTCAAGTGTACGGAGAACTGCAAAATTTTCGTTTATTGATTCTTAACTAGTGTCTTTGAGGCACCTGTCAATCAAAATCCTAAAAAAACCAGAAAATAAAAATACTAACAAAAGATGGGGCAGAGCAGTCTAGCGCGTGGCCTCCATCGACAGCGGCCTCTGCCACCAAAATATGCGTGTGCTAGATGCGGGCAGGGTGACCCTCGCTTGGGTAGCTCGAGTCAATCTCCACATCTGCCCCCCCGCAACACCGGCGAAGGCAACTCGGCATCGCCTGGGTCACGCGTCTTTAGGAGATCAGGCAGATCCTCCCTCTCAAGCACGGCCGGGAGAATGTGTTAATAAAAAAGTTAGTGCTGGAAGCAATACCTGATACTTCAGCTATTAATCCAGACAGGAGAAGGTTTACACTCCCAAGCAACCTTTGACTTACATTGTAGGAAACAATTCTCTCTAGAGCTGGCTGTCAGTATCTTCAGGGCAATGAGTAATTCTTCTCTCTTCTTTGTAAAGCTCCCAACGGCTTGAGCATTTATAAACCTTACAATTTGCGGGTGATTGAAAAGTCCCATTTTGCAGCAATTCACAACATAAGATGGTCACCTTCTGAAGCTTCTGTAATTTTGAAAGATCAGGCAACTCTTCTATGGAATTGCAGTCCTCAATTGACAATGTTTGCAAGAATTCCAAGTCCTCCAAACCTTGCATCTCATTTAGCAGTGGGCAACGTTTCACGGACATCACTTGGAGCTTCTTTAAGCTTGAAAGACTGGAAAGCCTGACAAGCAATTCACAAGCTGACAGTTCTAGATGATGCAAATTCTCTAGCTGTCTAAGCATATCATGAAACTGAATCTCTCTTAGCCAACATCTACAGAGGTTTAAACCAGAAAAATTTCTCAAGCTCGAAAAGAGTGACCAATCTATAGGTGACTTGACATCATATAGTGTCAATTCTTCAAGATTGGATGGAAGCCGTGTCATAGAATGTGGGTCGAGACATGTTATTGCGAGTCGTTGGAGCCGAGAAAGGGAACTCAAGTTTGTTGGAGGCAAGGAGAGATTTGGAAAAATAAGACCCAAATGCTCCAGTTTAAATAACCTCCCAAGCCACTCTATCTTTTGACTTTGAACTTGTCCTTGGGTGATTCTTAAGGACTCATGAGTGTAATTACTTATATCAATATGAACTAACTTAGTCAATTTTGAGAGATTAGGTACTGTCTGCAATGATGAAGATGAACACTCTAACACTGTTAAACTCATAGGAAGTTCTGGCAACATCTGGAGTCCATTGCAATTCAATAAATGAAGTTTTTGGAGATGAGAAAGCTGACTGATAGTTGTTGGCAACCTCTTAACCTTACTTCGTGACAAGTCTAGTATTCTCAACAAGGACAGTTGCCCAATTTCACTTGGAATTTCCTCCACATCACCACTAATACAAATCTCTTTAAGAGTCTTCAGCATTCCTATAGCCTCTGTTAGCTCTCTTATATTATTCCCAATCTTCATGCACTTCAACCTTTTCAGATTCCTAATGGAATCAGGTAATTCTGTAATGTTTGTTTCATATAGATCCAACTCAAGAAGTGATTCCAGTCCTCCAATCGAGTCCGGTAGCTCTCTTAACTTTGAATCAAATAAATCTATTGCTTCCAACCTATTAAGATTTCCGATAGATTCAGGTAATTTGGTAATGCGTGTTTCACGCAGATCCAACTTGAGCAACGATTCAAGTCCTCCAATCGAGTCTGGTAGCTCTCTTATCTGACTTCCATGCACATCCATGACCTTCATTCTTTTCAGACTCCCGATAGAATTGGGTAACTTTGTAATTTCTGTATCAGAGAGATTCATCTCAATGAGCGATTCTAGTCCCCCAACAGACTCTGGTAATTCAACAATCCCACTAAAAGACAGATCCAATCGGACCAGTGATTTCAATTCTCCTATGGAATTTGGAAGCCTTTTAAGCTCAGGACAATGGCTTAATGACAAATACTTCAAACCTGATAGCTCTCCAATTGAGGGAGGAGCTTCTTGAACTCGCTTATTTTCTATCTTTAGCATTGATAGGAATTTTAGACCACCAATGGAGTCTAGTACTGAAGGTACTACAAACACGTTGTGCCTTCTAGGAAACTGCCAACGAAACAGAGAGTTCTTCCCACTGATTTCCAAGCACTTCAGCCGTTCTAGCTTGCCAATCGAAGTATCGATCTTTTTCAAGTTTTCACAATCTTTAAGAACCAACATCTTCAAATTTAAGCATGTGGAGAAGTTGGGTGTCCTGATTAATCTTTTACAACCAGTCAGATGCATGACTTTTAACTTGCCGTTCACCTGTGAAACAACAATCTTTTTGTAAGAAGACTAGGCTAATGGTAAGATAGACCTATGAATAACTTACAAAATGACATTTTACCATGCATGCTTCCCATCCAACCCAATCTTCAGTGATGTCACTCTCTGAAAGCTTGAGTACGACTAAGTTCCTTAAGCAAAGATTGTTAGCATGTAAATCTGAAGGGCAATGATGCCATGAGAGCCACTTTAACTTTGAGAGAAGATGCTTGAAGTCTCCTGCAAGGTTTCCTCCATCTAATTCAAGAAACCTCAAATTGGGAAGCCTTGAAATTTGCTCACTTGTGAAATTGGGCAGATTGGGGATTCCTGTGAGTTTCAGTGCCACAACGTTCTCTGTTCCCTAAATGTAGAAGTTAGCAAAATGACAGTATGTGAGCATCTAAAGTAAAGTAACGGAACAAGGAAATCAAGATGGTCTACATTATAAGAAATTCAATACATTTGTAATTCAGAGAAGAAAATCTGGTTTCAAATTTCCAACCTTATAGAGATGGAAATGAATATGAGAGCATCATAAACATTTAGTGAGAGAGAAAGCATATTGATCTTATGCACCTTCAGATTATTTTGAGAAGCACAAAATTTGCTTACTCATATCATAACAGTGAACCACACAAATCTTGTACTGTGATAATTTTAAGTAGTCAATTAAAATCGCCAATTGGTAACTACACTGTTGGCCCCATTGTCGAGTCTTCATGATAACAAATTTTATTCAATTCGGGCCAGCATACACACCATACTAATTAATTCTCTCAAAGCAATGCACCTTTCTAGCCAAGCAAACATCGCGTTAATTTTGTAATTATTAATGAATGTGCGATGGCATTGGTGTTCATTCTTATTATGTGAATGAAGTCACTCCAATTTACGTTTGAATTGAAACTGAAATGGTAAAATTGCTGCTAGTTTTCTCCAGTTGTGCAAAAAAACTTTTCTTATGATAGAATAAGGACAGATTCCAAATAAACAGGAACACCAAACATAGGCAACTGCATGTCAATTGTTCCATGAATAAATGGTTGTGACTATGACTTACCTCGTTAAACTGAACAACTTCTAAGGCAACTGTAGGACGCCATAGCCTGCTTTGCTTTCCGGAAATTTGGAGGCACTCATGCTGAACAATCTCTCTTCCAAGATCTCTTAGTTGGTCATGCATCCACAGTATATCATCATCAACAATCTTTACCAAAGATAAATGAACAAGGACAAGTACTCCACTTTTTGGGAAAAATTCACAAGCTTTCCACATATAATGTGGATGCATCGCTTCTTCACCAATGAAGTAACATGCAATATCAAGAAAGATCTGTCGTTGCTCATATTCTAGTTCTTCATAACTTATCATCAACTTTTTCTGAACATCCTTGTCGGGCACTTGCCTTAACTTCTTCAACTTGTCTTTCCATATTACCATACTTTTGCAATGGAGATACGAACCTATAACCTCAAGAGTCAAAGGAAGTCTTCCCGTAGCTTTCACAACTTCCTTTGAAATACCATCAAAATCATACGGAGGTGATTCACTTTCAAATGCGTGCTTACTGAAAAGTTGAAGAGCATGGTCAAATTGCATCTCCTTTACTTCATAGAAATAGAAATCTCTGGAATGCGCTCGAATGATGTCATTTGGGTTTTCGGTGTTAGTTGCCAAGAAATGGATGTTCCTGGTTGTAACTATAATTCTGCTTCCTGCACCAAACCAACTGGACTTGCCAGCCAGTTTCATGAGCTGGTCCCTCTTATCCACGTCATCAAGCACAATGAGGATTTTCTTCTCACGGAATCTCTCTTTCATCATCTTGATCCCATCATTAGTGTCAAAAACCTTTGCTGATCTAAGGTCGAGAATATCACATAATAATTTCTTTTGCAGGTCTAGAATATCATTGTCGCCAGATGACTGCCGGATATCTGAAAGAAAGCTGCGACTTTGGAACTGAGAAGACATTTGCTTGAAAACAGCCTTGGCAAGAGTCGTCTTTCCAATGCCGCCCATGCCATGGATTATGACAAACCTTACACCAGAAGGGGCTAGGCCTATCAACTCCATAATGTCTTCCATTCGATCGTCAATCCCCACCAAGTCATCGTGCAAGTTAGGTTGTAGTATCCTTAACCTACTGGCAACCTCTTCCCTAATCAGTCTTACAAGTTTATCTTGGCTGCCACATTAGTGCAACTGTCTCAAGTTGAGAAAGCACAAATAGCTATAGCACATCACGTGATATATGTAACAGAACTTGAATCAATAGTGAAACAACACATGAATCACAACTTTTTGATAAACTAGAAGGGCAGGAAGGGGCAACAGGTGTTTGGATAAACGAAATATATATCGCAACCGAATTATTTCTTACTCCTCCCACATGGAACCTTGCATATTATTCAGGCCCAAGGCATGAAGATTGGTTTCGATTATTGAGAAAAGTGGTTTTGGCTAACAAACAACAGATTTTTCTGTCTTTTGGTGCCTGTTGTTATGTAAGGTTTCTATAATCGAAGTTCTGTGTCTTCAATGCAACATGATAGATTAGATCTAATGCACTCGAGTAATTGCACCATGTAAGATGATGATTTGGGTGCAGATTCTCCCCTTCAAGTAGAATCTCCCACAAGACAACAGAGAAATTTGCAACGACATTACTAGATTTTCACCACTCCAAACTTCATTTTCATCTCAAAATGATCAAGTATTTAAGAGACTCGAACGCTAATGTATAAGCCTTTCAAGTACAGATGCACCAGTAGTATAGACGTGTTCAATACCCATTTCTCTTTCTTGCCAGACACTAACATCATTCCATAGGAAGCAATTTAAGAATGGCTGATTACATGGGCCTCACAAGTCTATGGACATCTATGGACAAAGAAAAGAAAAAGAGAGGAAATCAGATCAACTGTTCAGATGTATGTGCGCAACATCAGCGAATCAACTAAGAGCTCTGAAAAAATGGTAATGTGAAAATGCAAAAGTGCTTTCTAGACCAACTTGGGTAATTTTCACAGCCATTTCTTTGGAACTATAAAGTTGTCACTTGTCAGTTTGCAAGAAGGACAGAGATTGATGGATCCACCTGAATCTTCATGATTATCACAACAAAACAGGCAAAATATCCATCGCGAAATAGCAATCCAATTTCTAGGAAACATGGTAAGGGCCAAGATAAGATCTTGTACATGTGGAAATCAAAGAGTCGAAATCGACATTACCCGTGATCTCTCAAGTTCCATCCAGGGATTCCAGCGACCTCTCGTAGAGCCTCCTCCCACTGCTTGGCCACTTCCTCACCGGACTCTCTCTCGTGCTTTTGCAGGGCTTCGCGATACGGCCCTGTCTCGAGCCTCGCATCGGATGCTTCCACGTCATAGAAGACTGGCAAAAAAACCAGAGTCTCATTCCTCTTCCGGCACTCCACCATGCAGGCGAGCTCGCGGAGGCACCACCTACTTGAAGCGTAGCCTCTTGAGAAGATGGGCACGTAGATCCCGGAGTTGGCAATCGCGCTCAGGAGCTCGCCGCCAAACTCCTCGCCGACACGGAGCTCGTCGTCGTCCCTGAAGACGCGGATCCCGGCACGGACCAGGGCCATGTAGAGAGAGTCGGTGAAGGTCAGGCGAGTGTCTGGTCCTCGGAAGCTGAGAAACACCTCGTAGTGTCTCCCCGACGATCCATCACTATAATCACTTGGGTTGCGATTCGAGTTCCTGCTTTTTCTTCTTCTGATTTGCGACAGGGCTAATGCAATCAAGGCAGAACAGAGGATGGAGCGAAACAAGATCATCTTTTCGGGCACCGAGGAGAAACTTTGCTCCGATTCTGATGATCCCCGCAAGAAAATCTGCGTGCCCTCGCCGGCGGCTCGCCCGGGGCCGACTAGGGTCGCCGGCCTTCGGGAAGGCCCAGGCGTGGGCCGCCGCTCCTTCCCGACGGCTGTGGCGGCGGCCACCGGCGAAGGCTTGGCCACCGCCGCAGCTGCCGGTTCTCTGTTTTTTTTTTTTTTTCTGACGTTAATTGGACGGATTTTTAACGGGAGGGCAGATTTGGGACTTAGATAAAAGTTTGTGATTTTTTTTTGAGATAAAAAAAAGTTTAAGGTATATTTAGGACAAAGCGTAAAGTTGAGGGTTTTTTTTGGAATTGGCCGATAGAAAAAGACCCCGGGAGGACCGGGCATCGAGTCTCTGTCTCCTGGCCAATTTTTTTTAATATAGTAATGCCAGCACTGTGCTAAACTTCAGTCGACTTATGGTCTTCTTCTATAATATCTCTTGTTCTCACTACGAAAGGGGTTAGGGTTCCCAGAAAATACAGCAAAATCATCGCCGTCTGGTCCGGAGAGGTGCATTTTTCTTGCTGGGATCAGGCTCGGAGGAAAAGTTTCGTTACGTAACCGAGCAGGAAAAAAAAAAAAATGGTCTTGATCCGCACCATCGCCTGCTCTCTGTTACTCGCACTAGCCTGGTCGCACTTCAGAAGAAGAAAAGGCAAGGCCACAGCGAGCGCAAGAAGTGATCCCTCCATCACAGACAGCGGTGAACCGGCATCGTTGCCCGAGAGGGACTATGAAGTGTTCCTGAGCTTCAGAGGGCCCGACACTGGCCTAACCATCACCGATTCTCTCCACGCGGCCATGGTCCGTGCTGGCATCCGCGTCTTCAAGAAAGACGAGGAGCTCCGCATCGGCGAGGAGATCGATGGAGAGCTTCTGAGAGCGATCACCAACTCCAAGATTTACGTGCCCATCTTCTCTAGAGGCTATGCTTCGAGCGAACGGTGTCTCCGTGAACTCGCGTTCATGATGGAGTGTAGGAGGAAGAAGAGCGAGAAGGTGATCTTGCCCATCTTCTGTGATGTGGATGCGGGGGATGTGAGGCTCAAGACGGGGACGTACCGTGACGCCCTGCGAAAGCACGAGAGAGAGTCGGGTAAGGACGTGGTGAAGCAGTGGGAGGAAGCTCTAAGAAAGGTCGCCAGAATCAAGGGTTGGAACTTGAGCGATCATGGGTAATGTTGAGAACTCCAGCACTTTCTGCTTACAAATGATCTTTTCATTTTTCCTATATAATAGATCAAACGTTTGGTATTCGCTCTATGAGCAGTCAATCTTGCTTGATCCCATGTAAGAAAGGTGACAATGCGGTCGACCGAAGTTTGGAACAATGTTGCTCTGGCCAAAAGAAGAGAATGCAGAGCACTACTAGAGCTACCGCTACTAGTGCATCTATGCTTGCAACGTTTCCAGAGTAGTGTAAAACCTGGATCTCTTAGAAAGGCGAAAGTGACAGGGAAGCTTTCCATTTGATCATTTGAACATGAGCATGAAATTTGAATCATTGGAAATATAGTTAGAGACTTATAGTACCTATATTCATTGTGCATTTCTCTGCAAGCGATTATAGGTAAAAGGAAGAACTGTCTCGCGGTGTAACAACTCTAGTGAGATGTATAATCTATCACGTTGCAAACTAAGTATGGCAGCCGACCCAAAAAAAAAAAAAAACTAGGGCAGCCATATATGTATAGCTTAAAATAGTACACTGGTACCGTGTTGTTCTCATGTTGATTATGTCAATTATTTGTTCGATTAGTTTGTTCAAATCTAGAGGAGCCTCTGTTTGCCCCACACATGCACTTTCTTCCTATTATCAGTCTGCGACTTAGTTATGCTTGCATGTAATGTATTCTAGCTATCTGTGGTTTCTTAACTTGAGATGGTTGCGTGTATATGGCAGATTAGATAAACTTGTAGGACTTATTCTGGAAGAGGTTTTCAGTAAGTTAAGGACAAGACAACTAAACGTGCGCAATGACTTGGTGGGGATTCATGATCCAATGGAAGCCATCAAGGAGTTGTTTGGCCAAGCTGCTTCTGGTGTACGATTTGTTGTAATTTACGGCATGGGTGGTGTTGGAAAGACAACTCTTGCCAAGGCTATCTTTGAACAAATGTCTCCTCAGTTTCAAGAACGCTGCAGCTTTCTTTCAGACATTCGGCAGTCATCCCGTGACGATGGCATTCTCAACTTGCAAAAGAAATTATTATGTGACATTCTTGGCCTTAGATCCATAACGCTGTTCGACGCCTATGACGGGATCAACCATATCAAACAAAGATTATGTGAGAAGAAAGTCCTCATTGTTCTGGATGACATGGATGACAGGGAACAGCTCAAGAAACTAGCTGGCGAGTCCAGTTGGTTTGGTCCAGGAAGCAGAATTATTATCACAACCAGGACCATCCCTTTCTTGGCATCTGATGATGAAAGCCCAGATGAAATGATCCCAGCGCATCCTAGAGATTTCTATTTTTATGAAATGAAGGAAATGCAGCGAAACCATGCTCTTCAACTTTTTAGTAAGCACGCATTTGAAAGCAACTCACCTCCATCTGATTATAGGGTCATTTCGAGTGAAGTAGTGGAAGTCACTGGAAATCTTCCGTTGACTCTCGAGGTTGTAGGTTCATATCTTTATGGCAAAAACATGGTAATATGGAAAGACACGTTGAAGAAGTTAAAGAAGGTGCCCCACAATGATGTCCTGAAAAAGCTGATGGTAAGTTATGAAGAATTAGAAGATGATCAACAACAAATTTTTCTCGATATTGCATGTTACTTCGTTGGTGAAGAAAAAGTTCATGCAACTTACATGTGGAAGGCCTGTGATTTTTACCCAAAAAGTGGAGTACTTGTGCTTATTCAGTTGTCTTTGATAAAAATTGTTGACGGTGATAAACTATGGATGCATGACCAACTCAGAGATCTCGGAAGGGAGATAGTTCGGCGGGAGTGCCTCCAAGATCCGGGAAAACGTAGCAGATTGTGGTGTCCAACAACTGCCTTTGATGTAGTCAGAAGTAAAGGGGTAAGTCTTATTCAAGGCTATTTCCTCTTGGAAGAAAAAAATGCAACAGTTCAAAAAGATCATGTGCCTATGCTCTTCTCTGTTACTTTGCTTTTACAGCTTACGGATTGCTAACTTCTATTGACAGGGAATGGAGAATGTTGTAGCTCTCAAACTTCCAGGACTTCGTGTAGTGCATTACTTTCCAGAGCATCATTTTACAAGTGAAGAATTTTCAAGGCTGCCTAATTTGAGGTTCCTTGAATTAGACGGTGGAAACTTAGTTGGAGACTTTACGAGTCTTCTCTCAAAGTTGACTTGGCTGTGTTGGCATCGTTGCCCTCCATATTTATATGCGACCAATTTATGTTTAAGAAGCTTAGTCGTGCTCAAGCTGTCAAAGAGTGACGTTACGGAAGACTGGCTTGGATGGGGGCCATGCATGGTACCATAAAATGTCATGCTATATCTGTGTTGCGTTTGTCTCTCCACATTTTAACACTTGCCTCTAACAGTCTGTTATTTTACAGGGCATTGGTAAGTTGAAAGTAGTACATCTCTCGAGCTGCAACCGCATTACCAAGACACCCGACTTCTCTTCATGCTTAAATCTGAAAAGACTGATATTTGAGAAGTGTGAACACTTGGCACATGTTGATGGTTCTATCAATAAGCTAGAGCACCTGAAGCACTTAGAAATCACTGCAACTTTGATATTGGGTCCGTGGGCCAGAGTACATGATTTCAAGCCTATTCTTCCTCTTAGTTTACCTGAGTCAATCGGTGGTCTGAAGTCCCTTTCGATGCTGAAGATCGAAAACAAGCAATTAAAAGAACTTCCACCCTCAATTGGAGATCTGGTGGGTTTGAAGTACTTGTCTTTGAGTGGATGTAGGGAGGTCACAAAACTTCCAGATTCCATTGGGGGACTAAAATCACTACTTGAGATGGATTTATCAAGTACAGGGATCCCAAATATACCTGATTCTGCAGGAAATCTCAAGACATTGAAGGTAATGAAGCTGAATGGTTGTTGGAAGCTGAGAGAGCTGCCGGACTCAATTGGCGGACTAGAATCACTGAGCAAGTTGGAGTTGTCTAATACAAACATCACAGGATTACCTGACTCCATCGGAAACCTTAAGCGGTTGGAGGTGATAGATTCCTTTTTTTGCAGGATTAGAAGGCTACCAGACTCGATTGGAGGACTGGAATCACTGCTTAAGTTGATAATGGATGAGGGTTCAATTACAGAGTTACCGGATTCCATTAAAAATCTTAAAAAGTTGAAGTGCTTAACGCTTGGGAAAAATGTTAGAGGAATAACAAAGGCCATAAGAATGCTGAAGAGTCTTGAAGAGTTACGTGTTGGTTGTACGATGGAGGAAATTCCAAGTGAAATTGGGCAACTATTCTCTTTGAGAATCCTAGACTTATCAGGTAGCAAGGTTAGGAGATTGCCGACAACCATTGGCCAACTTTCTCATCTGAAAGAACTTATTTTATGCGACTGCAATGGCCTTCAACAGTTGCCAGGGCTTCCTAAGAGTTTGACAAAGTTAGAGGTGTCATCTTTGTCGTTGGAGATAGTCCCTGACCTTTCAACCATGACTAATCTAGTTCATCTGAAGATAATTTGTGGCATTTACGAGCTAGTGATCGCACAAGGACAAGCTCAAACTCCTAAAGATTGCCTTGAGAGGTTCACTTTGCCTCCAACTAACCTGAGTTCCCTTTCTCGGTTCCGGCAACTCATCATAACTTGTCTCGACACACGATCTTTGACACAGCTTCCATCCAGTCTTGAAGAATTGAGTTTAGTTGATGTCAGGTCCCCGATAGAGTGGTCACTCTTTTCCAACTTGACAAAGTTGTCCTTGTTAACAATACGTGGGTGTCAGCTAAGAGAGATTCAGTTCGATGTCACCGGACAGCTAGAGAACCTCCATCATCTGCAAGTGGAGGATTGTGGATTTCTCATGAGGTTAGCGAGCCTATCAAGCTTAAAGGAGCTCCGAGAGTTGTCCTTGAACTTTTGCCCACAGCTAGCTGAGATTCAGAGTTTGGGGGAACTGGAAGTCTTGCAAACATTATCAATTGGAAACTGCGGCTCCATGCAAAGGTTACCTGATGCGTCAAAATTACAGAAGCTGGAACAACTGAGAATCATTCATTGCGAATCGCTGCAAGATTTGTCCGATCTACCAAAGACGTGTAGTCTCTGGATTTCAGAATGCCCGGAGTTATATGATGGTCACTTCAGAGGCCTCTACGAGCTTTACCAGGAAAGGAGGAAGAACTAGCCATCTTAAGGTAGATATACACAGGGAGACTCTAGATTGAATCTAGGTAGGGTTGTATTGAGAGCGTGCAAGTTCTGTCAATGTAGGTAGCTATAGAACAGTATTGGTTTCCACTAGGAAAAAATGCTAAATTTTCTGTTGACACATACTGAACCCAAAAGAAAAGAAAATTTCTATCAACCTATGCATTCTCTTGCCCCACAACGGCCTTCATTCCTAAGTTAAAAATTCAAAAAACAGCAAAAGTTTGCGGCGTAGATCTTGGAGTTGTTGATCGCGTGCAGGAGCTCGCCTCGAATCTCCTTGCCTTTGCGGGATCTCCTCCTCACCTGACTCGGTCACCGTCGTGTGGTAGAGGCAGTCCGCGAAGACGAGGCAAGTGTCCAGTTCTCTCTGAAGTTCAGGAACAACTCGAATTCAGACCCCCCGGGCAGCCCGTCATTGTCGCCGATAGCTGGATCTGTGGACAGAGTTCCTTTTCCTCTTCATCTTCAGGCCGCCTTTGCCGACTTTAATAATTAAGAGATGGTTATATAACCGAACGAATCAATGTGCCATCAATCCAACAATGAATGTGCAAAAAAAAAATATTTTTATACAGATAATAAACTAATAAAAAAACCCGGAGGATTTTATCCGAACATGAGAAAAAATTATTTTTTTTAGGAAAAAACTTAAACCAAAAAGTACTTAACGAAAACAAAACGTACACTGCAGGAATTTCCCTGTGATCTCTCCTCAGCGTCAGCCTCTGCAATCCAACATCGTTCATGGCTCTCCGATTCACGACGAAAATGTCGCTCCCCTCCTCCTCCATTCCCAGTCTTCCCAAGCATTCATCTCCTCGCTTTCGCGGAAGATGCGGCGGCTCCTCCGTCTCCTTGCTTCTGCTTCGCAGGTACCCACCATAGTTATAAAATTGATTCAAAGCACGCTATGATTGGCATGGCGCTCATTTTTTAGAGTAGAGGTCCACCTTACCCGGGTACAAATAGCTATTGACTTCGTACTCCCGAATTCTAATAAACGACTTCGGATTTTGAGTAAATATTCGAGTGGAAAAATCAGATGAACTCTCTATTCTTCAGTTGTCTTCATACGTAATCACAAAGATTTAGAATGGAGAGTTGCAGAGAATAGGGAAGAAAAGAACTTTGAAGAGTTGCGTGCAAATAGTAACGAAAAATATTGCACAAAAGTCGCAAAAGTATTCATAAATTTCCAAAGATGTAAATGGCATCTTTATAAACTCACAATATTTTGAACATAGATCATTTTGTAATCTCTATTACGTTAATTTACAAAAATATACATTTTTGCTGAATCAAAAGACACAACATCCAATGAATAAATGTATCTGTTCAAAAAGGGGATAATCGTCCAAAAAGTCTTAAACCTATTGGAAGGGAGCTAATTCAATTCTAAACCTTTCAATTATGTCAATTTAGTCCTAAACCTTTTGACAATTTGTTAATTTAGTTATATACCTTTATTTGTGTCAATTTAGTCCTAAATCTTTTGAAAATGTATCAATTTAGTCATAAACCTATTATTTGAATATTTGGTCGGAATGACTATATTGACAAATCGTCAAAAGGTTGAATCACGGTGTTAATAAAACTACAATGAAGTGGGGTTCGTATTTGTAGGGAAACTGTAGGGAAACCACTTCCTTTCCTCCTTAAACACTTCTAATCATGTATGGACATTTGTGGCTATTCAAGAAGGGATTAAGGAAAAAATTATAGATGCAGCTGCATGTTTTATAGAACAAGATATATACCGTAGTCGACGCCCCCATTCACATGCCTACACAAACATATTAATTACCGTATAAAAACCAAATGACAATGTACTATTTTAAGCTCACTGACCACAAAGTGACGCCGGACGAAGAAGTCGAAAGCTTCATAAATGACAAACATGTACATAAATTCGATCGATGATAATATAAGGGTGCGCATTGCTCCATTGGATTACAAAACGGCAGTGTTCTTTGGTTAGTAAGGTGTTGTGGCGAGGCCATTGTGACGATGATCCCGGTTCCCCACAAGAGTCTCACACCTCCTAAGGAAATTTGACGTTGGGACGTGCCTATCGTGGAATACTAATTATATTCTTCTGATTTTATTCATTACCCAATCCTATCCTAGGCCCAAAATGGCCAGCCTGGTCTTTTTATTTTTTTTTCTAGTTTCAGCCGGGCCAGAATTTAAGGCTTCCCATGGTGAAATATGTTAGTGGAGAAGAAAAACTTACTATCAGAATAATGACGTTAGGGTCAAGTTAAAAAGAATGGCTCAAAACATGTCAAAAAAGTGGATTTTTCATGCTAAAAAAGGCCTCAACTATAGTTCCAGCCTCGAGCACATTGGCTAATTTGCTGAAGTCCCGAAAAATCAACTACAGTTCCATTGATCCCCAAATTTACTCGAAAGTTATTATGTATGACACCAATAACCTAACCAAAAATTATTAACCATCAGACGTAATTACACCAAAATCAAGAAAATAATCGCAATGTATCGCCACATTGAACTTTCGACTATTTTACATTACCAAAACACAAGCAATTCGAAACCTACGCATAGCACATGTGTGAGTAGCTAAATTATCCGATGACTCTGTCTTCCTTTAAAGACCTTCCTCTTTCCTTCTCCTCCATTACATTGTGTGACTAGCTAAATTAGTCTCCTTACACAAACACCAGTTTAAGTGAGGCTAATGATATTTCGACACCCTTAATAAACTTCTTCCACAACTATTACACAAGTATGTTGCATATGAAGTTATGATAAGGTCCTGGAAGAAGTTATTATTGTCATGAAAGAAAACTTTCGAGATCTTAGAACGTGGGAGAAATTATTATTATTATAAATATATCATTACATCAAGTAATCGAATCCATTTCGTCTTAACAAACGCAAAGTCCCTGTAAGAATCTTACATAGTCATCACCCATTTATGAACTGCAATATAATTTCCACAATAACGTAAATATTACAAGAGCGATTGGTGCATCAATCATGTTTATACTAAAGGTGAACATGCATGAATGCTATCTACTGAATCTTTCTGATAGGAACAAATAGACAAATGCCCTGCAAGAAAAGGAAAACTAAAACAAAGGGGAAGAAGAAACCAAAGAAAAATTTACCGACTGTAAGAGAACATGAGATGATTCTTTCTTTCTAGAGTTGGCTGTTGGTGTCGTCCCCACTATGACCGTAAGTATCCTTCCATTTCTTGTAATCGCCAATAAAGTAAGGTAAATTCCCACATCCTGCGAATGTCAAAAAACATGTGTCTTCAAGTCGTGGATCAGGAAAATTTTGCAATGGACAATATGAGAGACTCAATAGCCGCAGCTCCTTTAATTCTGATAGATCAGGCAGCCTTTCAAAGCAACTGCATTTGTAAATACTCAATGCCTCTAGCGATCCCAATTTCTCCGCGCCTTGAATCTCCATTAACCTCGGACAATCAGTCACTCTCAACGATCGGAGCCCCTTTAATATTGATACGGTTAGCCTTTCAAGATATTCACCATCGCTCACGGACAAACTATGGAGTTTCACCAGCTGTTGTCCAAGCACATTATCAAAATTGACCTCCCTCAGCCGACAATTACAAAGGTCCAAATTGGACAGATTTGTCAAGTTGGAAAAGAGGGACCTTTCCATCGGTAACCTGACATCGAATAGAGACAACTTTTCAAGACTGGACGGAAGCCCCATTAGAGATTGGGGGTCAACACAAGTAATCTCAAGAGTACGAAGACGAGAAAGAGTAGCCAAATTGATCAGAGGAAATGTGGCATGTCTAATGACAAGCACCAATCTCTCTAGACTAGATAACCCCTCTATCCACTCTATTTTTGGAGGTCGAAGAAAGAGTTTCGACAACCAAGGATTGTCATCCCATAAGTGAAGATCAACTAAGGTAGTTAGATATGAGAGATTAGGGGCTGTCCACAACAAAAGAGGTGGGAACTCCAAAGCCTTCAAACACACAGAGAGCTCTGGCAACTGTTTAAGTTTATCACACTGATTCAAATTAAGTTGTTGGAGATGAGAAAGCTGATTCATAGTTGTGGGCAATCTTCTAATCTTGCTCTCTGATAGATTTAGTGTCCTCAAAAAGCATAGCCCCCCAATTTCACTTGGAATTTCCCCCTTCAGACTTTTACAACATGAGGCTTCCAACCTTTTAAGATTCTCTAGCATCCCTATGGTCCTTGGTAGCTCTCTTATCGCACTCCCATCTAGACATAAAATCTCCAATCTTTTGAGATTCCCAATACAAGCAGGTAATTCTGTGATATTTGTATACTCCAAGTTTAGCTCAATCAAGGACTCTAACCCTCCTATTGAGTTTGGTAGCTTTTTTATCGGAGCCATAGAAAGACTCATCTTCCTCAACATTTTAAGATCTCCAATAGAGTGAGGTAATCCTGTCATTTTAGTGCCTCCCAATTCCAATTTAAGCAATGATTTCAATTTTCCGATGGATGCTGGAACTTCAAAGAGCGCCAGATTTTCCATCTTTAGGGTTGTCAGAAATTTTAGATTGCCCATCGAGTCCGGCAAGAATTGAGGTACCACACACGGACTGCTCTCGGTTGAAGCTTCTTTCAATAAACTCCCAAAACGATTGCACCCACTCATTTCCAAGTATTGCAGGTGCTCTTGGTTACCAATGGATGGGTCAATCTGCACCAAGCTTTCACAATCTTTGAACAGCAGTCTCTCTAGAGTGGAGCACATAGAGAAATCAGGCGTCTTGATTAAGCTTTTGCAACTCACAAGACTGAGAACTTTTAAGTTACTTGTCCCCTGCAAAATAACCAATATAAGAAGGGACAACTATCAACATCCCCAAATGAGGAGAGAAATAGAGTATAATGAACATTATGCATGTCAGAAGGTATAGTACCATGATTTGGCTCCATCCATCCCAATCATTTATTATGTCGCTTGCTGAAATTTTGAGGACGACTAAGTTGCTTAGACAAAAGTTGGTCGCTTGAAACTCTGAAGGACAGTGACGCCACGAAAGCCATCTTAGATCAGAGAAGAGACTCTCAAAGTCTCCAACAAAGTTCCCTCCGTCTAATTCAAGGAACCTTAGGCTTTCTAGCTTTGAAAATTCCTCAGGAGTAAAATTGTGGGATTTAGAATGTCCATCAAGTTTGAGTGCTACTATTTTTTTTGTTCCCTGCAACAGAAATTAATGATCAGTGAGCATGAGCTCGGATTAGAAAATGATATTGCACGATGAACCCTTACAACATGACATATGCATTCTGTTTTCAGTCCAACATAAAAGTTGTATGCTAGATCGACAAACCTTTTTTCTGCATATGACCTCCATAGCTAACCTTGGGCACCACAACCTGCTACGCTTTCCGGGAAATTGGATGCTTTCTCGACGAACGATTTCTCTTCCAAGGTCCCTGAGTTGGTCGTGCATCCATAATTTCTCACGATACACGACCCTTATCAAGGACATGTTGATAAGGACATCAATTGCGTGATTTGGAAAAAACTCGCAAGATTTCCACATAAGAATTGCATCGTCGATTTGTTCACCGGCCATGTGACATGCGATGTCGAGAAAAATTTGTTGCTGTTCGTACTCTAACATTTCATAACTTATCATCAATATATCATGGACCTCTCTGTTAGGCATTTTCATTAACTTTTCCAGCATGTCCTCCCACACAGCCTCACTTTTGTAGCAAAGAGAGGATCCGATGACCTTTAGAGCCAGAGGAAGTCCACCCGTGGTTTTAACTATCTTGGTTGCTATCTTGTAATAATCATGTGGAGGGGTATCTCTTCTGAACGCGTGCTTGCTAAAAAGTTCAAGAGCATGATCAAGAGGCATTTCCTTCATTTTATAGATGTAAAACTCTTCTTGAGGGATAGAGTCACTGTCTCTTAGTCTTCCCCTATTGATTGGTAAAAAACCGATATCCCTGGTTGTGATGATAATTCTGCTGCCAGGACCAAACCAGTCTTGCTTTCCGGCTAGTTTCATGAGCTGGTTTCTATTGTCAACGTCGTCCAAGACAATGAGAACTTTCTTGTGACGAAACCTTTCTTTTATCATGCTGATGCCGTCATTGGTGTCGTAAATCCTTTTGGGTTGGAATTTGAGAATATCCGATAATAGTCTCCATTGTAATTCTCTAATTTGATCATCTTGGGAAGATTCACGAACATTTGAAAGAAAGCTATGACCGGAGAATTGGTGAGAGACCCGATTGAAAACAGCCTCGGCAAGGGTTGTCTTACCGATGCCACCCATACCGTGAATTACAACGAAACGTACGTCAAGGGATCCTTCTTGCAGCAAGCGCGTCACATCCTCCAAATGATCATGAATTCCAACTAGATGGTCGGGCAAATTTCTCTGCCTTTTCTTCAGTCTGGTCAGAACCTCATCAACAACATGTTTGATAACTGCACCTTCCCTGCAATATCCATATAAATGGAGCACTTGATTCATGATCTATTACCGAAGATTTTTCTTTTTGTGTATTGGTCTACAGCAAAATGACCTATCTGCAATGAATATCTGCATTTGACCAACAATCCAGGCTAGATTTCGAGCACAACAGACGCTATACTAATAGTTACTTTGAGAATGCATCCTATTCCCATAAACTCCATTCATATGGGATTGACATTTCATGAGAGGACCGAGTATATTCTAACTCTTAAACAGCATCTAACTCTTAAACAGCAGTGTCTCCAGCGCGAATGCAATAATCTGTCGAGAAACACCCCAAATCGAGCTAAATGAAGTTCATGCTTGAATTCGCAACAGTGAAGTAAATCCCGTGTGCGTATTGTTGTAACTCTCCTATTGATGAATTACTCACGATATGCAAAAGAATCGATCAGAACAGAAGCAAAAGACTGAAACATTGAAACTCCCTTTCAAACTAAAAAGAAACTGCAGCATATTGTGGAGACCAGCTGCAGAGTGCAGAGCCTTACCCTTTGCCCTTCAAACCCCATCCCTTGATTCGAGCGACCTCTACCAGAGCCTCCTTCCACCGCCGCACCTCATCACACGAGAACCTACCCTCGTGCTTTTTCAAGGCCTCGTCGTACAGTCCAGTCCGAAGCTTCACGTCGTAAGCACCGACGTCGTAGAAAATAGGCAAAATCACTTTGCCGCTCGATCCTCTGCAGCACTCCACGATGCGCGCGAGCTCGCGGAGGCACCACGCGCTGGATGCGTAGTCTCTGGAGAAGACGGTCACGTAGACCTTGGAGTTGTTGATTGCGCGCAGGAGCTCGCCTCCAATCTCTTCGCCTTTGCGGATCTCCTCTTCGTCCCTAAAGACGCGGACCCCGGCTCCGTCCATGGCGTGGTAGAGGCAGTCCGTGAAGCTGAGGCGAGTGTCCGGTCCCCTGAAGTTCAGGAACACCTCGAATTCACCCCCCGGCGGCGGGTCGCCATCGTCGCCGCTGGCCGGATCTGGGGACGAGTCCCTCTTCCTCTGCATCTTCAGGAGCTGCGTGCGCCGGCTTCAACTGGGAGACTGATCGGCCTGATTCCTCGAGAAACTTTAGCTTAGGCCTTTCCAGTTTCCTCCATCAGAGACAATGGCAGTTCTTTACCACAGGATGGAGATGAGCCCGACACCTTTTTGCTTCAAGTCAACGAAGATGAAGAAGAAAAGTCTTCCAAGACAAACTTGCTCAACTCGTTAGATTTTAAATCTGTTTAGACACTATTGAAAAGTCTTCCCAGACAAAACCTACTGGTCCTACACTGCAGGAATTTTCCTAGGATCTGTCCCCAGTGTCATCCTCTACAATCCACATCGTTCATGGCTCTCCGATTTCCAATGGAAATGTCGCTCCCCTCCATTCCCAGTCTTCCCAAGCATTCAACTCATTGCTTTCACAGAAGTTGTAGCGACTCGTCCGTCTTCTTGCTTCTGCTTCACAGGTACGTTGGCACAGGATATCGCAATTCGATTCTGAGTTCCGTTGATTTCTCTTGCTTTCCCTTTTCACTCGACTCTAGTCACTTGTCGCTGTGCATAAGCTCCTAACCTGTTTAACTAAATAGCGATGAAGTGAGACCGCATTTTGCCTCCTTTGAAATAGTAGTTTAGTCTTCTCCATAATTAGTGAGCATTAGGGCTCACTACATATATATATATATATATATATATATATATAGATGATGTAATCTGAAAAAGTGCATGACGATTATGTTTTTCATCATGGTATCAGAGCTTACGATCGTCAACAAAATCTTTCTCCGCTTTCAGTAAAAAAAAAAAAAAGAAAACCTAGATCCAGAGTGGCCGGCGTTGCCCGACGCCACCCGGCGTTGCTCGATGTCGCCCAACCCTAGATCCATAGCGGCCGGCGTTGACTGATGCCACCCGGCATTGCCCGATGCAGCCCAGATCCGGCGTCACTTGACCCTACCCAGTGTCACTTGACGAAGCATCGTCGATCAGTGTCGCTCGACGCTTGACACCGTCGCCCGTCTCGCGCGAGTCCTTGCATCGTGGCTCGATAAAACACAAGGCAAGAACTGAACAGAGAGAGATTATGCACAAGTTGGTGGTAACTTCTCTTATTGTTAATGCCTTTGGGTATTGCTACACAATCTGCTCATCCGGCTCGCTTCTCGCCTGATGACAAATACTCGAGGTAAAGAGTTCTTCTAAAGAAGCGATTTGGATTGTTGCCGACCAAATATTTTTTTTAAAAGTATCTTCATCAATTGTAAAAGACCTAATCCTATCAGCAATAGATATTCTACCCCTGCCGCTCCTCTTATTGTATAGACAAGCCATTGAAGAACGTTCACCAGTCTCAGGAGACGCAAATCCTGTGGTAGAGCTGGAATTTTTCTTAAGCTTTGATGAAAAAACAACCGCCTCAGAAATATTAAATGTGGGATATCGCATAGGCGTTCTTTTCTTGCGAAAGTAAAGTCCCCGCCTGGTGTTGAAGTTTACTGACGACGGTTGATTATTGGGTTTGTTAATGCCCTATGTTGATTTGTGATTCTGTTGTGATGAGTTATTGTGTTTGGTGGTAATTGGTGGTAATTATTACGTTTGGCGCACAAGGTGCAAATTTTTGTTAAGTTCACTTTTATATTATTATTGAGTTATGACTGGCAATTCTGGAAACACGGATACCGGTCTTACTAATCTGAAGTTGACCTATGTTAAGCTCAATGGGACCAATTACCCTTCTTGGTCTATGGCAATCGAAACATATCTTTTAGCCACCAAACAACTGAGTTATCTAACTTCATCTCCACTTATGGATAAAACAAAGGAAGATGATTGACGCTCTGGCGATGCTACTATTCAGACATTGTTGTGGAATATCATGGATTCCAAGATTAGTCCTCAATTTATGCAGTGTACATCAACCAAAGCTATTTGGGACAAATGTGCTCTTATGTTTTCGGGTCATGATAATATGACCCGTGTTTGTGATGTGTGGGAGGAGCTATTTGACTTACGTATTGGAGACATGTTTGCATCTGATTACTATTCTAGGTTCACCACCCTTTATGAGAAATTGGATACTTATTTGCCTGCCACTGAAGACATTAGAGAGTTGGCCAAGCGCCAACAGGATATGAGAGTTGTGTTATTCTCCCGGGGCTTGGTCCTACTCATTCTTCTCTCCGATAGCAGATAATCTCCCAGGGTACTCTTCCATCAGTAGATGAGGTCTTTTCTTAGGTCCTTCGATGCGTGCTTGACTCATTATCATCTACACCTGTAACGAGTGCTATGGTCTCTTAGTCTTTTGATGGTCGTGGAGGCCGGGGACGTGGTCCTTGGGGTCGTGGCAGGTTTGTCTTTTCTCTAAGTCGTCGCCGAGATGGTTATAGGGGTGCTGGAAGTTCTCGTTATTGTAACCATTGTCAACGAGCTGGCCATACTGAGCCGTATTGCTATACCCTACATCCTGAGCTTCGTCCACGGGCTGCTTATGCCGAAGCAGTGGAATCTCCAGTATAGAAGGTTCCTGGTCAGTCACAGGAGTTACCTAGTACCATTATGCTAACTCACACCAAGTACGAGTCCTTAGTGCGCCCAACTAGGTGGTGGATTCGTCTGCTCCTACTGCTACTTTGGCACAGACTTCTTCAAGTAGTCCTTTATGTTTACTCTCTTCTGCGCCCACTTCCTGGGTCGTAAACTCTGGTGCCACAAATCATATGATAGGTAATTCTAAGTTGTTGTCTGATATTACCTCTATGTCACCAAGTTCCGTTTCACTTGCTGATGGTTCACAGTCCCATATCACTGGTCAAGGGAATGCAACCTTGAGTCCCTCTCTTACTCTTTCATCTGTTTACCATTTGCCAGCTTTCCCATATAACTTGCTTATGGTTAGTTCTCTTACTAGAGATTTGAATTGTTCTGTAACGTTTACTTCCACTCATTGTATCTTTCAAGATCTGAGGACCGGATGGATGATTGGTGGCGGACATGAGTCCAATGGGCTGTACTACCTGAACAAAGACCTCATTGCTGCGGCTGCTCAAAAGAAAACTGCTTCCGACTAATTTTAGATGCATTGTTGTATGGGTCATCCACCACCTGACATTCTTCATCACTTTTCACTTGTTTTAGAATCTATGAGTCCTATCCGGTGTGATGCTTGCCAATTTGGCAAACACCAATGGGTGTTGTTTCCTTCTTGTGTCCAGCGTTGTGTATCAAGTCCTATTGAGTTGGTCCATTTTGATATTTGGGAACCGTGTCATGTTAGTGATATGTCTGGTTATAAATATTTTGTTACATTCATGGATGATTATTCCCGAATGACGTGGTTATATTTAATAAAAGATCGAACTGAAGTTTTTTCTTGTTTTCGTATGTTTTACTTTGAAATTCTCGATCAATATCATGTTTCTATTAAATGTTTGCGTTCTAATAATGCCAAAGAATATATGGCTGTTTCCTTTGGTTTTCAATCATTTCTTATATCTCATGGGATTTTGCATCAAACTTCTTGTCCCTATACTTCCAAACAGAATGGGGTGGCTGAACGAAAAAAATCGTCATCTCTTGGATGTGGCTCGTTGCCTCTTTTTTCATATAAACCTCCCCAAAATGTATTGGGGGCATGCTGTTGTTAAAGCATGCTATCTCATAAATCGCTTTCCATCCTCAGTGCTTCATAGGGGCATACCTTTTTCCACTATCCATCCTACAAGTCCACTTTTTACTTCACCACTTCGTGTGTTTGGGTGTGTCTGTTTTGTGCATCGTCTTGCTCCTGGTCATGATAAACTCGATCCACAGGCTGACAGGTGTGTGTTTCTTGGGTATTCTCGAACTCAGAAAAAGTACAAGTGTTATAGTCCAGTTAGTCGGCAGTTGTATGTCTCAGCAGATGTAACCTTTTTCGAGGATCAGTCATATTACTCCTCTACAGCGGGTCCTTCTAAAGATGTTCTGTCTTTGACTATGGCTCCACTACCGCCTATTCCCTTGGCGAGTATGCCTGAGTCGTCAGCGTCATCGCCTAGTTTTCAGTTCACCGACAAGACCTATCAACGGCGCCGGTCTATTCAACGTGAGGTAGTATAGTCGCTGCCTGCATTGGATATGCATGATTCGCCACCAGTCAATGTCCCGTCTTCTGATCCACCAGTTGCTTCTGAGCCTGATTTACTACTAACATTCCCATTGCATTGCCCAAAGGTATTCTTGTGTTGGTCAACCCAATCCTCGGTTTACTCCCTATAGTGATTTGTCTTGTCATACACATACTCGTTACCCTCTTTCTTAGTTTTTATCCTACAATTGTCTTTCTCCTACATATTCCTTGTTTGTTGCTTCTTTATCTGCTGTGTCTGTGCCAAGTCTCGTTGCAAAGGCTCTTGCACATCCAGGTTGGCGACATGCTATGGAGGATGCAATACAAGTGCTACAGGATAATAGGACATGGCAACTTACATCGTTACCTGCTGGGAAATAGGCTGTGGGGTGCCGTTGGGTTTTCACAGTGAAGTTCCAACTAAATGACACTGTTGAGCGTCTGAAGGCACATCTAGTTGCCAAAGGTCACACCCAGACATATGGAGTTGATTATGATGATACATTCTCTCCTGTAGCGAAGATACCTTCTGTTCGTGTTTTCATCTCTCTTGCTGTCCATTATGGTTGGACTCTTTACCAACTTGATGTCAAGAATGCCTTTCTTCATGAGGACTTGGCATAGGAGGTATATATGGAGCAACCCCCAGGGTTCGTTGCTTAGGGGGAGTCTACTAGTGTTTGTCGCCTACGCAAGGCATTGTATGGATTGAAACAGTCTCCTCGTGCCTGGTTTGGTTGTTTCAGTGATGCAGTTATTCGGTTTGGTTTGCGACGTTATACTGTAGATCATTCTGTATTTAGCTCTGCTTCTCCTGCTGGGTGTGTTCTCCTAGTTGTGTATGTGGATGATATTATCATTACTGGTAGTGATTCTGTGGGCATAAAAAAATTAAAACAGTTTT